GAAGATTTTTTATCTTTTTGTCAAGATATGCGGATAAACACACACACACAAAATATTAAATTTTGAAGTTTTTTTATTTTGTTGCCAAGATGTGTGTATTAACACACACACAAGAAAATGTTATATTTTGGAGGTTTTTAAATCATTTTGTCAAGATATGTGTATTAACACACATATACACACAAATATTAAATTTGGAAGTTTTTTAATTTTCTTACTAAGATATGTGTATTAACACACACACAAGAAAATGTTAAATTTTCGAGTTTGTTTCTGTGAATTTTTCCTTCTTAAGTTTGCACGACTAATTTTTTTATTTTCTTGTTAACATGTGTGTATTAACAAACATACAAGAAAATGTTAAAGTTTTGAGTTTTTTTTTAATTTACTTGTCAAGATATATATATTAACACACACAAGAAAATGTAAAATTTTCGAGTTTTTTTTATAATTTTCTTGTCAAGATATGTATATTAACACACACAAAAAAAATATTATGAATTTTTTAATTCTCTTGCCAAGATGTGTGTATTAACACACACACAAGAAAATATTATACTTTTAATTTTTTTTTTCTTGTTAAGATGTTGGTATTAACACACACACAAAAAGTGTTAAATTTTCGAATTTTTTAATTTTTTCCCAATTAGGATGTATTAACACACACAAAAGAAAATGTTAAATTTTTGAGTTTTTTTAATTTTTTTGTGAATATATGTCTACTATCACACACACAAAAAAATGTTAAATTTTCGAGTGTTTTAATTTTCTTGCCAAAAGTGTGTATTAACACACACAAAAAATTATAAATTTTCGAGTTTTTTAATTTTCTTGCCAAAAAGTGTGTATTAACACACACACACAAGAAAATATTAAATTTTTGAATTTTTTTTAATTTTTGTGTATATATGTGTACTATCACACACCAGAAAAATGTTAAATTTTCGAGTTTTTTAATTTTTTTGCCAAGAAGTGTGTATTAACACACATACATGATAATGTTAAATTTTGAGTTTTTTTAAAAAATAATTTATGTATATATGTGTATTATCACACACCAAAAAAATGTTAAATTTTCGAGTTTTTTTAATTTTCTTGCTAAGATGTGTGTACTAACACACACAAGAAAATGTTAAATTTTTTTAGTTTTTTTTTAATTTTCTTGTCAAGATATGTGTATTAACACACATTAAAAATATAAATTTTGTAGTTTTTTAATTTTCTTGACAATATGTGTGTACTTAACACACACAAGAAATTGTTAAGTTTTTGAGTTTTTATAATTTTCTTGCCAAGATGTGTGTATTAAAACACACACAAGAAAATGTTAAATTTTTGAGTTTTTCAATTTTTTCAAGATGTGTGTACACACAAGAAAATGTTAAATTTTTGAGTTTTTTTTTTTATTTTCTTGTAAAAATATGTGTACTAACACACTCATAAAAAATTTTAAATTTTGAAGTTTTTTTATTTTCTTGCCAATATGTGTGTATTAACACACACACACACACACACACAAATTGTTAAATTTTCGAATTTTTAAATTTTTTTGCCAAAATGTGTGTATTAACACACACACACACAAGAAAATGTTATATTTTTGAGTTTTTTTTATCTTCTTGTCAAGATATGTGTATTAACACACACACACAAAGTATTAAATTTTGAAGTTTTTATTTTGTTGCCAATATGTGAGTATTAACACACAGAAGAAAATGTTGTATTTTCTAGTTTTTATAATCTTTTATTCAAGATATGTGTATTAACACACACACAAAAAATATTAAATTTGGAAGTTTTTTAATTTTTTTACTAAGATGCGTGTAGTAAAACACACACATGAAAATGTTAAATTTTCCAGTTTCTTTCTGTGAATTTTTCCTTCTTAAGTTTGCAGGACTAATTTTTTTTTATTTTCTTGTCAAGATGTGTGTATTAACAAACACACAAGAAAATGTTAGATTTTTGAGTTTTTTTTTAATTTTCTTGTCAAAAATTATATTAATACACACACAAGAAAATGTTGAATTTTTGAATTTTTTTTATAATTTTCTTGTCAAAATATGTGTATTAACACACACAAAAAAATATTACGAATTTTTAAATTTCTCCTGCCAAGATGTGTGTATTAAAACACACAAGAAAATGCTATACTTTTGATTTTTTTTTAATTTTCTTGTCAAGATATGTGTATTAACACACAAAAAATGTGTATTAACACACACAAAAAAAATACTAAATTTTGTAGTTTTTTTATTTTCTTGCCAAGATGTTTGTATTAACACACACACAAGAAAATGTTAAATTTTTGAGTTTTTTTTTTACTTTTCTTGTGAATATATGCGTACTATCACACACTCACAAAATGTTAAATTTTCGAGTTTTTTAATTTTTTTGCCAAGATGTGTGTATTAACACACACAAGAAAATGTTAAATTTTTGAGTTTTTTTTTTAATTTTCTTGTGAATATATGTGTACTATCACACATACAAAAAATGTTAAATTTTTGAGTTTTTTAATATCTTGCCAAGAAGTGTGTATTAACACACACAAGAAAATATTAAATTTTCGAGTTTTTTTTGTGTGAATATATGTGTACTATCACACACCCAAAAAATGTTAAATTTTCGAGTTTTTTAATTTTCTTGCCAAGAATGGTGTATTAACACACACACAAGAAAATGTTAAATTTTTGAGTTTTTTTAATTTTTGTGAATATATGTGTACTATCACACACCAAAAAGATGTTAAATTCTCGAATTTTTTTAATTTTCTTGTCAAGATGTGTGTACTAACACACACAACCAAATGTTAATTTTTTGAGTTTTTTTTAATTTTCTTGTCAAAATATGTGTATTAACACACACACACACACACAAAATACTAAATTTTGTAGTTTTTTTAATTTTCTTGCCGATATGTGTGTACTAACACACAAGAAAATGTTAAATTTTTGAGTTTTTTTTTAATTTTCTTGTCAAGATATGTGTATTAACACACACATAAAAATACTAAATTTTGTTGTTTTTTTATTTTCTTCCCAATATGTGTGTACTAACACACACAAGAAAATGTTAAATTTTTGAGTTTTTTTAATTTTCTTGCCAAAATGTGTTTATTAACACACACAAGAAAATGTTAAATTTTTGAGTTTTTATAATTTTTTTTGCAAAGATGTGTGTATTAACACGCACAAGGAAATGTTAAATTTTTGAGTTTTTTTTAATTTTCTTGTCAAGATATATGTACTAACACACACAAAAAATATTAAATATTGCATGTACGAAAAATGGTGGAATTTCGTAATAGATTATTTTACTTTTCATGTTGAAGTCTGAAACGTCAACAGTGGTTGATGTAGAGTAGATATAGGTTGTGTGATAAAAGACGACTGCTCAAAATCTAGATTTAGAGTTCCTTGATGAGTCTCTATCGAAGATGGGATCGGGGAAGCTCGATTAAAACCTTCTAAAATACTGAGTGTATAGTGCGGTTGTGTGAATCGTGGTCTCTATGTCTTTGTATGGTGCGGCGGCGCTAATCACGGTCTCTGTCGGAGATAAGTTTATGCACAGTGTGGCGGAGCAAATCTTTGAAGTTCAGTGGTTTGAGACTAAATTAGTCCAAATTTCGTAACAAAATTGGTGCCCTCTAGAATTGGTTTTGTTGGGTAAGGCGGCGCAAATAAATCGTGATCAAATATGTTGTTCTCGGTCAAAAAAGAAACGATAGAAATATTTTTTTCAATAAATAAATGTAAATTTGAAGAAGATGAAGTTAAGGGTATAATCGTCAAATTACCTTCTCAAAGTCACTATATTGCTGAAAGTGTGTAAAATGTAAGATGAGTTACTCAAAGTGTGTTCACATGTAAATAATTCCACAAAAATACTAAATTTTGTAGATTTTTATTTTTTTTGCCGAGATGTGTGTATTAACACACACAAAAAAATGTTAAATTTTTGAGTTTTTTTAATTTTCTTGTGAATATATGCATACTATCACACACTCACAAAATGTTAAATTTTCGAGTTTTTTTTAATTTTCTTGCCAAGATGTGTGTATTAACACATACAAGAAAATGTTAAATTTTTGAGTTTTTCTTAATTTTTTAGTTTTTAATTTTCTTGCCAAGATGTGTGTACTAACACACACAAGCAAATGTTAATTTTTTGAGTTTTTTTTTAATTTTCTTGTCAAGATATGTGTATTAACACACACACAAAAATATTAAATTTTGTAGTTTTTTATTTTCTTGTCAATATGTGTGTACTAACGCACAAGAAAATGTTTAATTTTTGAGTTTTTTTAATTTTCTTTTCAAGATATGTGTATTAACACACACATAAAAATACTAAATTTTGTAGTTTTTTATTTTCTTCCCAATATGTGTGTACTAACACACACAAGAAAATGTTAAATTTTTGAGATTTTTTTTTTTAATTTTCTTGTCAAGATGTGTGTATTAACACACTCACAAGAAAATGTTAAATTTTCAAGTTTTTTAATTTTCTTGCCAAGATGTGTGTATTAACACACACAAGTAAATGTTAAATTTTTGAGTTTTTTTAATTTCTTGTCAAAATATGTGTACTAACACACACAAAATATGGTAAATTTTGAAGTTTTTTTATTTTCTTGCCAAGATGTGTGTATTAACACACACACACACATATTGTTAAATTTGCGAATTTTAAAAATTTCTTGCCAAAATGTGTGTATTAACACACACACAAGAAAATGTTATATTTTTGAGGTTTTTTTTTATGTTCTTGTGAAGATATGTGTATTAACACAAACACAAAAAATATTAAATTTTGAAGTTTTTTTATTTTGTTGCCAAGATGTGAACACACACAAAAGAAAACATTATATTTTCGAGGTTTTTTAATCTTTTTGTCAAGATATGTGTATTAACACACACAAAAATACTAAATTTTGTATTATGTCTGAGAGAGTTTGCTTAGTTACTGTATTTTTTTATGCCTTCTGTTGGGTTCTTTGGTGATCGATCTATCCACTTTCAGATTCTATACCGGCTGGTTTGGTTTTAGTAGTCAATGCTCAACAAAAGAAGGAACAACATTGAAAGCTAACGCGTATTCCAAACCAGGAAAATTTACAAAGATTCAGTAGCCCAGCCTCTCATCTTTCATCTGACCAATAAATAGAAGACTACAAACCATGAAAAAAACCCAGATGAGAAAAACAGAGGTGGTTACAATAACTCTGGTTATGATGACTACACAACTGCTAATACCCTCAAAACCACCCCAGCTTCTTTCCTTTCCTTTTGGGGCAGACAAAAAAAACACACACACACAAACACTAATCGATTGTGAGCTAAGAAGACACGAAGAAGGTGATCAGTCACTCAGTCATCAAGTACAAGTCTGCTGATGAATGGGGACATGGCTGCAAGAAGCGCCTTGGGACACTCCTCATGTGGCAGATGCCCGCATCCTGAGATTGCTACTAGCCTCTGTTCGTTGACATGTATAATGTTAGTTGCTGAGACAACAGAGTCATGGGTTTGATTAGGTATATGGGGGAGGACTTACAGAGTTTACGAGTTTTGAAGCCATGACTTGGGAGGACTTGAGGGGAACAAGTGCGTCTTCTGCTCCAGCAACGACTAATACTGGTAAGTTTTCCACTGCCTTGAGAAGTGACAGTGCATTTTGAGTTGGAAGCACCATTTCGGATGAGAGTCTACCTATCTCGTGAAGTGCCTCGTCCCAGCCTTCGACATGAAGAGGTGCCTTGTATAGCCTTAAGACATCTGTTGTCATCTTGGTAGGATCATACCAAGCGCGATGATTCACCACCTGAGCTATCTCAGTGCGTAAAAGCGGGCGAACAAGGTGCTTCTTTCCTAGTGATGTATGCAGAATTATTCTTGCAAAAGCTGGAACTACTTCCCTCGTCAAGCTTGCATTAAGCAAAACCAATCCTTTCACTTTGATGGGATCTTTTGATGCTATCAATCTTTGCGCAGCCTTGAGAGCAAGCAAACCTCCGTCGTCATGGCCAACCAATACTACTGAAGCAAATCCCATTTCGTGGCAAAAAGCAACAAGCATATCTACCTGTAAAACATCAAAACAGATCACTGAGTTTTTATATTTCTTTCCAAGTGCAAAGACAAGAAAGCTCCTTTTGAGTTAGATAGTCCGGAATTGAACATAAAGCTTACCTGATTTTCCAAAGTGTAAGGGTTTGGCAACTCTCTTTCCTCCAAATCCTTTTTATGAGGCCTCGCGGTTAATCCCCAACCAGGCCTATCAAATGCAGTGACAACACAGCCAAGCTGATGGGCGAGAGAAGCCATCACATGTCTCCAAGAAAACACTCCTCCGCCAAAGCCATGAACCAGCACTACACCAAACTGACCGCTTCCATCCGCACCTTGATGCTCCGTGGCACCAAAACTGGACACATTCATGTCATCCTCTCGACAAGCTTCTTCCTGCATATCTTTGAAAGTAAGAGGAGAAGTAGGAGAGCTATCTAGGAGAGGGTCGTGCAAGGAAGAAGACGAATTGTTGAACAGGCTGCTGTAGCTCCTGTGGTGGTGATGATTGAGCTTGTTTCTCGTGACCATGCTCAATATATTCCTGTCAAGCTTCAACCTACCTGCCATTGCCTCTGGCATGTTGAGCATAGAATTGGCTTCGACGGTTGAAGAGAGAGACTGCCGAGGAGAACCCGGTGTGCAGATCTTGTAATGCACAGAGAGACCCCTGACTGTAATGAACAAGCTGTCAAGATCAGCAAGCAATCTCACTGGAAGCTCTCCTTCATCATGGGATGTTGAGGAAGGCAACTTTCGTCCATCGGTCTTGGAGGCCTTTCCTACCAAAGGAACGGGAGAACGTGGGACTTTCTGGTAGCTGGAGAAAACACTTTTGCAGGAAAGAACCTGCAACACAGTCAATAACATGCTTAGTTAAATCTCTAAAAAAAAACCAAAGCTTCGCAGCAAAATAATGATAAAACACTCACTGCTTCAGGGTCGACTCTGTGATACAAGAGTTTCCTCCTTGCTCTGCAACTTGTTCTGTAAGCAACAACCATATGACCAAGAGCAAAAACCACAGATGAAAGGAACAAAACCGGCATCCCCCAAGACTTCTTCAGATGGAGCCGTTGCCTTGACGGAGAGGACGATGCTTCGGCGTTAAATTGGGAATTAGCAGTGAAAACGCAAGCTTTTACTGAGAGAAGAACAATTGAAACGAGAGAACACAGCGACACAGTTCCGAGGTAGGGACCGTGCGAGAGCGCAGGGCCATCGGATAATGAATACACACCTGTTCATGTTCATCAAACAGAAGAATAAATCAACCCCAAATCCGTGCTTGGGAAACAAAAAGCAATACCAGTTGTTGAAAACGTACAGATGACAAGGAAAGATCTGACGAGGGAGACGAGAGGAATATCAGTCAGAGAGCTCTTGAAACCGTATCGACTCAGATGCTCCTTGAAGCCGTGGCAGGTCAAACAAGTAAAGCTCGAGAGCAAAAATGTGAGCACCAAGACGTCGCCAATGGCAACAAGCACAGGCAACGACGAGACTAAAAGCGACACCAACATCGCAACCATGAAGAAAGCCGTCCTTAAGCATCTCCTGGCTTTCTCCACGACAAACCAACCTTTCCCCATTTTTTCCCCAAAAATTCAAATCGGAGATCTTCCGCTCTCTGGCTCGATGAATCCGATTCAGATCCTTTTAATTTATGTGGGGGTTGAGACCGCAGCGAGAAGAAACCGAAACGACCAACAATCCACCAACTTCGGAGGATTTCGCGACGATGGGGGCGAGTTGGCCATCTGCCGGCGGCGGGAATGAGGAGAAGAAAAAAAAGGCAACCCCTTTCTCGAAATCAAAAGAGACGAGGGAACGCCATTGCTACGATTCTGAATGAAATATTAAAAGGCTATGGGAATTTCAGAATCGCAGGAATGGCGAAAGAGGGATGGAGAAGAGAAAGAGAAGAAAGGAGAAACTTTTTGATGATCCGGGAAAACAAAAACCTCCGTATTCTTCTGCTCCTATTTTTCTACAACGCTTCTTTTTTTTTTTTTTTTAAGAAAAAACATTTTTTATTCATATATTATTTTGATTAATTTATTGATTACGAATAAACAACCTTAGCACGACTTTGCTCGGACCAATCAGTAATCGCAAATCTTTATTGGGACTATTCTACCCTCGATATTTTATGGGAAATTATCATTAAAAATTTATACTAATTATAGATCAGAAATTTCTTGTTTTAAAATTGAAATTAGTAAGAAGAAGGAAAGATATAACTAGCTATATATAAGCTCATGAGAGGCTTGTTTTTACTTTTTATTACTATAATATGCCAACATTTGATGGAGGAAAAATTACCAATCTTTCAAAATATTCCAAATCGTTGCAAATTTGATAAATTTTAAACAATAAAAATAAAAACAATTCAATTTGGATGACGGTTATACCCCTATAGAGAAGTGCTGTATATATGTAACAGTGGCTTCAGAAGACAACGGATAGCGGGAGGAACGAGGCTGTTTTAATCTTTATTTTATTTTGTGACCGTTAACTTTCAAACTTGGATTTCGTGTGATTTTGAAGATTCTTGTCGGGGACCATTTTTATTTACGCAACAGTCCCTACATTTCTACTCTTTTCTCAACCAGTGTTATATAGTAGCTTAGTAAACAATAGGGACCATCCCCCATCAATAAAATTTGTGACCTTTTGACATAATAGTAGACAAAATTAATAACTAGAATGTTTTTTTATAAAATGCATGGATAACCACTTAATCAAAGACACAGAGATGTGATGAGTCAGTTGTTAGTTGATGATGGAAAGATGGGTTGATGATATAAGGAGGTGGTGCTTGCTTTAGTTTGTTGTTGACCAAAGAGAGAAACCAAATGCATGAAACACAAAAACTTAAACTTAAGCATAAGGGAGACAGATTGCAAAAAGGCAAAAGTAAGAAGAGCAAAGATCACGTGTATGGGGTCCCAAATCCACTCGTTTTTTTTCTTTGCTTTGCGTTTTGGCTCATCATCTCCTTTAAAGTTCTGAACTTTCACACTTTGAGCAGCTCACCTGGGCCCTACTTTCTGCCGCATCTAAAGCTGCCCGATGTACAAACTACAAAGCTTTCCCCACCATTTAACTCACTTTCATGCATTTTTACCATTTTTCTCTTTTTCCTGTGTATCGTCAGAATTTACCCTATATCTAGCTATCTAACAAATAATTCAACTAGATCTCTTCCTCGCTCTTTTCGGCTAAAGGTTAACTAGATCTTTAAAAATTGTTCCATTCTTTTTTTTCTTCGATTCTATCTACAGTAGGATCCGAGGCAGAGGATTCTGTCACTCGTGTTAAGTGACTTGTTAACATTGAATTATATACTACAGTATGTGCTGTTCATTAAAATAAAATAAAATGAATAATACTAGAGTATGTCTGAAAGATTAGTTTATCAATTATTAGTGTACCTACGACTTTGCTTAAAATAAACGACCAACTTGGTTTATGCTTGTCATTGTGTGAAATTGACACACATGTCTTGTCGGGTATAAGTGCGCTGGCTTATAACCAACTAGACACTCTATAGGCTAGTAGACCCTTTGGTACTCACCCGTTTTCTTTCTCCATGGCCTAACATAACTCACCCGTTTTGTTAGTTAAATGTCTTTCTTTGGATTCGTCATCTGCTAATAATATTACACACCACCTACCTTCCAAGCTAATTAATACTTTCGAAACGTTTGGGCTTCTTCAATTGGGCTAAATTTGCTTTCTTTTATTATGGCTTTGTAAATGGAAAGCCCAGTAGGATTCGTCATCTGCTAGTTACACACTACCTACCTTCCAAGGTAGCTGATACTTTCGACACGTTCGGCCTTCTTAAATTGGGCTAATTTACTTTTTATGGCTCTGTAAATGGAAAGCCCATTTGATTTCTTATGATTAACTTTGTTGGATTCCGATCCGTCTTGGAATGAATGAGATAGCAAAAGTTACAAAGCCAATTAAATGGCCCAAATCATTAGAAAGCCCTTGGAATTGCAATATCAGCGCTGTGATCTGTTTTTCCTATCAGATTTTCTACTTACAAAGCCAATCAAATGGTCCAATCGGCCGAGTAACCTGACACACTTACGAACCCAATTTAGATCATTAGAAGCCCATTTGGAGAAGCCCAAATTAATAGAAAGCCCTTTACCCACAACGGGAAATAAGAGGACAAGTAGCGACGAGGAAGATTCGACATAAAGAAAAACCACGAGCTAATTCGTATCTGTCATTTCAGTTGATTTTTTTAGTTATAATATTATATTTTTGCCAACTTTAGTGTATTAGTATTGTGTTTAAGATGCAAAATCTTAGCCGAGAACAAATATTTGAGCTACAAATGTATAAGTTGAGTGTGTATTCTTCTTAGTTATAAGATGGCTTATATGAGACTTATAGTGTGCGGCATCAGTTAACCTAATACGGTTGTTTAATGGCGTGGGAGAAGAGAAATGTAGCAAAGGAAAAAACAAAAAAAATGGCGTGGCAGATACGGAGCCATCGGAGGATTTTTTGTTTTTACCGACAAAAGAGAGAAATAATATCTTTGGGCCGGAAAGAGCAAAGTTGTGAAGGCCACAGGTAAAGGAATGTAGTGACGTGTCTCCACAAAACACTCTTCTTCCCTTTTATGATTGTCACACTTGTACTGTACTATATGCTTATGTTATGTGTCTCTCGGTAAAAGTGCCTCTTTACGTGTATATGAAGAACCGTTATCCTTTTGCCACGTGGAAGTCCTCACTGCCGTTGGGATGTTCAAAGGTTCCTTCTCGTGAAAATGATTGGGTCCCACCTTCTACAAGCTAATGTTTATACTATATCATATATATAGGCTAGAGCAACCAGCAAGAGCAACACGCTCCATGCCTTTCCCTTGGATCTTTCTTTCGCAAGTTGGGACTCTGACAATCGGAGCCGTCGCTTTCATCCCACGGCTGCCTTCTTTTATCCGCTCCATCAAAAATATCGATTTCTTGCTTGTAGGTTTTCGATTCGTCATTTAAAATGCAACATGGCAGGTCTTTTCTTTTAATTTTATCAAACCGAAAAAAAACAAAAACGCGCCAAAAACTGTATTTGTCGTTTGAATAACTATAAGACATTTGTTTAAACAAGCCCTTTATTTGCATTTAGATATAGTTGGTGTTATGGTGGTGTCTTCTTGGTCCAAATTAAAAATTATTGCTATTTTCTCACAAGGCCTTTTTTTATTTGTTTCTTTTTCATAGTCGAATCACGACATATCACCTAGATGCGCCTCTTGAACAAAAATTGGAACCACCTTATCAACGAATATTTTTCACAACGAGTGGGTCGCATATTTGTTTTAATATTGGTCCTTGGAATATAATCATGCCATGTTCAACAGTGGGGTACAAGAGGAAAAAAATTGCTGAGAAGGACAAAAAATATTCAATTAGAATGTATGGAGAGTTTGGTCATTATTTTCGTTTTAACGGCCTAATTTTGGGCCGCCGTCAGAAATCAGCGGTCAACTTGGTGGAGGATGCAAATTCTTTTACGTTTGAAAAGGCCTCAAAATTGACATCAAAACAATTGAGTGTGTATACAGGAAGATGATTAACCTTTCCTCAAAATATAAAAAAATATGTGAAATCGAATTATATTTTGTTTTCACCACTGACCACGTACAGTAGTATACGTTTTACGAGAAAGTATTTTTATTTCATTTTATTTCTTGCATTCGTACGCAAATATATTTTTGTAAAAACACAATATAAAACTAAACTAAGAATGATAGCAACTGTTTTAAACTCCATCTCATATAGAAAAACCTTAAATATTTAGAAATACTCCTATGTTTTTTAAAAGTATTAAAATGACACGTGATTTAATTGAGCGAAAGTAATAGCCATTAGCCACACCAACTCAAAGGAAAAAGTTATTGCCACCAACTACAAAACAGGATAAATAAATAAGAAACACAAGTAAAAATACCCAAAAAGGTCATTACGGTCATTCGACGTCTGAAAGTAAAGGGGCAAATCAGGCATTTGATGCTCGGAGACTTTTTCTAGGTTGGCTACCATGAAAAAGCTCACATGGTTCAACGACACCACCGCACATTTGTCTTCCCCGATTCCAATTTTATTTACTTAACCCGAAAGTTTAGCTTCTCGAGCATTAAGACAGTGAGCACTCTTTTTTTTTTTAATACGAACATTTACAAAAATCCATTCTTTCCGGATATACAATTTACCACATCTGTGAATATCTCTTTGGCAAAAACTATATTCTCTCTTCGCACTAACCCAGTCACCTTTATCATCTCTCTATCTCCTCCTCCTCCTCCATTTCTCTCCGGTCCTTCTGTATATTCTGCTGGAGAGAGAGTGAGAGATTAGAGATAGAGAGAGATGGAAGCTGCGATTCAAACCAGAGGAATTCTCTCTCTACCCGCCAAACCAATCGGAGCGAGAAGCCTTCTTCAGCCATCCCACGGCTTAAAGCAGAGACTTTTCGCCTCGAAGCCAAGAAATCTGCCTGGGTTGTCGCTTTCCTTTAACGGGCACAAGAAATTTCAAGCCTTTGAGCCAACCCTTCACGGGATTTCGATTTCCCACAAGGAAAGAAGCACCGAGTTCTTATGCAAGGCGGAGGCATCGGCCGCCGGCGACGGAGCTGTGTTCGACGAAGGCGACTCGGCAGCAGTTGTAGTGTCGCCCAAGATCTTCGGTGTGGAGGTTACGACCTTGAAAAAGATTATCCCTTTAGGGTTAATGTTCTTCTGCATTCTGTTCAATTACACGATCCTGAGGGACACGAAGGACGTCTTGGTGGTGACGGCGAAAGGAAGCTCTGCTGAGATTATACCTTTCTTGAAGACATGGGTCAATCTTCCTATGGCCATTGGGTTCATGCTCCTCTACACCAAACTCTCCAATGTTCTCTCCAAAAAGGCTCTTTTTTACACCGTTATTATCCCATTCATCGTCTACTTTGGGGCCTTCGGTTTCGTCATGTATCCTCTCAGCAACTTGATTCACCCGGAAGCTCTTGCAGACAAGCTTCTTGCCACTCTCGGCCCAAGGTTCATGGGTCCTCTTGCAATCTTGCGGATTTGGAGTTTCTGTTTGTTTTATGTCATGGCCGAGCTTTGGGGTAGTGTGGTGATTTCAGTTCTCTTCTGGGGCTTTGCTAATCAGGTGAATTAACTGCTCTATAGATTGAAGTTTTGTGTTCTTTTTGTGCTTCATTTTGTTATTCACAGAGTGGTTTTGTTGGCATGCTTTGATTATCGTATAAGTCTTTGATTACTGTCGAGTTTGATCCAGCGAATATGATTAAAAGTGCTGTTCTGTGAGTTTCATAGCATTGCATCCATCTATTTGCAGATCACAACTGTTGATGAAGCCAAGAAATTCTATCCTTTGTTTGGACTCGGAGCCAATGTAGCGCTGATCTTCTCAGGAAGAACCGTGAAATACTTCTCTAACTTGAGACAGAATCTTGGTCCTGGAGTCGACGGCTGGGCAGTTTCATTGAAAGCCATGATGAGCATTGTGGTGGGAATGGGACTTGCCATCTGTTTCCTCTACTGGTGGGTCAATAGATACGTTCCTCTTCCAACCCGTAGCCTGAAGAAAAAGGTAACGGTCTGCAGAACGTTTTTGTTCTGTTTCTGTAGCTTATGAGAGCACTCTTGTGATTTTGTTTTCTCTCTATAACTCTTTCTGCAGAACAAACCGAAGATGGGAACGATGGAGAGCTTGAAGTTCTTGGTTTCGTCACCATACATTAGGGATCTCGCTACTTTGGTGGTTGCATACGGTATTAGTATAAACCTTGTGGAAGTCACATGGAAATCAAAGCTTAAAGCTCAGGTATATACAGCTCCTCTAGCAAAGTCTTTTCATTCTCAATACTTGCATTCTTTTATAGCTTCTTTCTTATGCTCTGCAGTTCCCTAGCCCGAACGAGTACTCGGCATTTATGGGAGACTTCTCAACCTGCACGGGTATTGCAACATTCACAATGATGCTTCTCAGTCAATACGTGTTCGAGAAGTATGGTTGGGGAGTAGCTGCAAAGATCACCCCAACTGTTCTGCTGTTGACCGGTGTTGCCTTCTTCTCTCTGATATTGTTTGGCGGCCCGTTCGCACCACTCGTTGCCAAGCTTGGGATGACACCGCTACTCGCAGCTGTCTATGTGGGTGCCCTCCAGAACATCTTCAGTAAGAGCGCCAAGTACAGCTTGTTCGATCCTTGCAAAGAAATGGCCTATATCCCCTTGGACGAGGACACCAAGGTTTGCTTCTCTCCTTTAAAAGAATCCACATGGCAATGAGAGTTATGTCTGCTTAAGCTTTCTGTGATGTGGTGCAGGTCAAAGGCAAAGCTGCGATTGATGTGGTTTGCAACCCGTTGGGGAAATCAGGCGGAGCTCTAATACAGCAGTTCATGATCTTATCCTTTGGGTCGCTCGCGAATTCGACGCCTTACCTAGGAGCGATCTTGCTGGTCATCGTCACTGCGTGGTTAGCTGCAGCTAAGTCGCTGGAGGGACAGTTCAACGCTTTGCGGTCTGAAGAAGAGCTCGAGAAGGAACTGGAGAGAGCCTCGTCGGTCAAGATCCCTGTTGTGTCAGAAGACGAAGGCGGTAACGGTTCACTAGGAGAATCTTCTAGCAGTTCGCCGGAGAAATCTGCTCCCACCAACATATAGAAAGTGCATTTGATATTTGTTCCAGTGGGAAGGAAAGAAGGATGAAATCAGAATAAGAAGACTTTGAGAGTGAGAAAGACACATCTCTCTCAAACAATCGCCCTTTTGCACCTACCACTCTTTTAGTCTGTAGCTATTTGAACATTCTTATTCAGTTCAATTTGGTTTTATGTTCTAAGTTTCTTCACTATGTGTATTGTTAAAGTCAAAAATATCAATAAGTTTAGATTTAGTTCTACTAATCACAATTTTCCATGGATGAGACTTTGCATTGGAAAAAAAATGGTATTCTGTGGGCATAGGCAAGAGAAACCCAATTGCTTTCATGTGGTCTGATCAACATCAATAGAATCTAGTGTTTATAATAAGTGACAGTAAAAAAACAGCAACTGGTTCGACCGTTAAAAGGTCCCAGCGCGATGTTGTTGTGCTTAACTTACTCGTGTCGAATATTCGATATTCTGGAGGGACTATTGTTAAAGAAATAATTATGCAAATCATAATTTTGTATGGTTGTCATTTGCACGTCGTTTAACGACTCGTCGGCTGTCTGAAAAGCCGTCTTTTATCCAACTTCTCCGGGCAATATATATATATTTTTTTTAAAAAGCAAAAAAACAAAAAGTGTCAACACAGAGAGATAAGATAACCAATCATGGAGACAAGGACCACTCCTCTGCTCAGCGGTGATCGCGGCCGATGCGGGTGGCTCCGCCGTCGTCTCCGCCTAAAAAACCCACTTTCTTCTGAACTCTCCGGAGCCGTGGGTGATCTGGGAACCTTTATACCGATCGTCCTGACACTGACTCTAGTCTCGAATCTGGATCTCTCCGCCACTCTCATCTTCACTGGATTCTACAACATCGCCACAGGCCTCCTCTTCGACATCCCTATGCCCGTCCAGCCCATGAAATCCATCGCTGCCGTCGCTGTCTCCGAGTCCCCTCATCTCACCCCTTCTCAGATCGCCGCTGCCGGAGCTTCCACTGCCGCCACGCTCCTCCTCCTCGGCGCCACCGGAGCCATGTCTTTCCTCTACAACCTCATCCCTCTCCCGGTTGTCCGAGGCGTCCAGCTTTCTCAGGGTCTCCAATTCGCCTTCACCGCCATCAAATACGTCAGGTTTAATTACGACACTGCCACTCTCAAGCCCTCTTCTTCTCCCCGTTCCTGGCTCGGCCTCGATGGCCTTATCCTGGCTCTATCTGCTCTTCTCTTCATCATTTTGTCCACCGGCTCCGGCAGCGACAGAGACGCCGAAGGTGAAGATGTCGCCGAGGGCTCCAGCAACGAAAGCCACTCTCGCCGGAGGAGGCTGCGTCTTCTGTCTTCGATCCCATCGGCGCTTATCGTGTTCGTAATCGGGTTAGTGCTCTGTTTCATACGCGACCCGTCGATATTCAAAGACCTTAGATTTGGTCCATCCAAATTCAAGATTCTGAATATCACTTGGGATGATTGGAAGATCGGGTTTGTGAGGGCGGCCATTCCTCAGATTCCACTGTCTGTGCTAAACTCAGTGATCGCCGTTTGCAAACTGTCCAATGACTTGTTCGACAAGGAACTCTCCGCGACTAGAGTCTCAGTCAGCGTTGGGGTGATGAACTTGATCGGGTGCTGGTTTGGCGCAATGCCGGTCTGTCACGGTGCTGGCGGGTTAGCAGGGCAGTACCGGTTCGGGGCAAGGAGTGGTTTGTCGGTTATCTTTCTCGGTGTCGGGAAACTGATTGTTGGTCTGATGTTTGGGAACTCGTTTGTAAGGATTCTTGGCCAGTTTCCGATAGGAATACTGGGGGTTCTCTTGCTATTCGCGGGGATAGAACTAGCAATGGCTTCTAAAGACATGAACACGAAGGAAGAGTCCTTCATCATGCTGGTTTGCGCCGCTGTGTCCATGACTGGCTCTAGCGCCGCCTTAGGGTTTGGGTGTGGAGTTGGTCTTTACTTGCTACTGAAGCTACGAACGTTTGACTGTTCTTCGGTTACTCTGTTTTCCCGGTCAAATGATAAATCGCCGGTGGATTCTGCAGATGCTCCTCGTGTGGTCTAAATTCGGTTTACCAAAATCGCTTGATGATGTTGTACTACTTATTGGAAACGGATACGTGTCGGAAGCCTTAACCAAACCGAATTTCAGAAACGTGAACCGATTCTTCTCAGTTCCTGGCTCGGCTTAGGTTCCATCGTGCTCTGTTCCGTAAGCGATCCTATAATTTTTTCAGTGGATGTAATGTTTCGATTCGAACAAATATGTGAAACCAAACCACTAAGTAACTAACCAATGTTGAAATTGCTTGTGCTTCATGATTATAATAATGTAGATTTTCAATTTAACTAAAGAAACTAAGAAAGCAACAAAATCATAACGATGACGCATAAAAGAGCCAAAACCGGATCCCCCTGAACTATTGTCCCTTGTGTAAAGGATAATATCCCCAGAACTGAATTTGACGCAAAATGAAGAACATATGTATACTGGTTACCTATTTGTATATATAAATAGAACGCTGCTATGATGTTACACAAGTCACTAAAATCATCATCACCTAAACCTTTTGGGCGTTTTGGCTAGCCACTGCAATGGAGTCACATGAAGAGCAATGCTTACCAATCCTCGACTTCTCCCAGAGCAAACTAGTGCCAGGCACGAGTCACTGGATTGCGACCAGAGACAAGGTCCGAAAAGCCATGGAGGAGCAGGGTTGGTTTGTGGCAGAGTTCAATGGAGTCTCATCAGACCTCAGGGAGGACTTGCTCGCGGGCATGAAGGAGATGTATGATCTGCCGTACGAGGTCAAGATCAAAAACGAGAACCACAAGGCCTCCCATGGCTACATGTCTATGGCCGTCGACGATTACCAGATCCACGAGAGTTTGGGGATCGATTATGCAACAGAGCTCCAAGCTTGCAAAGATTTCTCTAAACTACTCTGGTCACAAGGAAACGATCCCTTCTGGTAACTTTTTCATTCCGTCGTATCTTTTTTTTTAGTTGGGGAAACATGTCAGATCAAATGTTTGATTTGCAGTCAAACCACACATATGTACGCAATGGCGCTAGCGGAGCTGGACCAGACGGTGATGAGGATGTTGTACGAGAGCTATGGAATGGACGAGGAGAAGCACTCGGCGAGTCATTCCGAGTCAACTCGATACCTGTTGAGGATGCTGAGCTACCGGAGACAGCGAAACGGCGAAGCAAACACGGGTTTTGTATCGCACACTGATAAGAGCTTTATGAGTATCCTCCATCAGAACCACGTCGGAGGTCTCCAGCTGAAAACCATGACCGATCAATGGGTCGGGTTTAACCCGTCGCCGACAAGGTTCGTCGTCCTCTCCGGTATGGGCCTTACGGTGAGTCCAAATCGAACTGAATATTAACTCATCCCATTTAAAATTCGAATTTCACCATAGACATAGTCAAGGACTCAATAACACAACCCAGAATCCGATTATGCACCAGACTCGAGCAATTGATTTCAATTTTTCCGTTGTGGTGGTGAAGGCGTGGAGTAACGATAGGATAAAGGCGTGTTACCACAGGGTGGTGATGAGCGCAGGTGAGATTCGATACTCTTTGGGGTTTTTCTCCTTCCACAAAGGGACGATCCGTACGCCGGAGGAGCTCATCGATGACCAACATCCCCTCCGCTACAACCCGTTCGAGCACGACGGTCTCTTACGCTTCTACGAGTCGTACCTCAATTCCTTGAAGAAATCCAGCCAAGACCTTCTCCAGATCTACTGTGGCGTCAACCCCTGATCGCCGCCGCCGCAGCAATGTGAATTTATCAGTCGTTAAGAAATAAAAAAATAAGTTATATATATATTGGAAAAAGAAAATTACACGTTTGATAGAGAATGAATGACATTACGACTGAACATTACGAAATTCGCATGAAAATACACAACTTTTATTAAAAAAATAGCAATCAATTGGTGGGATTAACGACCCTAATTGCGTCCAAGGCCTTGTCGAAAACCTCAAATTTCAAACGGAGATACTGGTTCCAAGTAATAGGCCGGTATAGAGATGCTCCAACCGGACCAACTATCTTGGGTATAGGTCTTATCTCCACATCACCAGCTGGACCACCCCACAAATACGCAATCGAAATTCTTGACCGGGTCTGGTTAACTCTGGCTCTGTGAACCACGCTTGGGATTTTCCCGTTTGATAAAATGTGAAAGAGGTCGCCGATGTTGACCACCAGAGCACCAGAAACCGGCTCTACAGTAACCCAACCGTACTCTTCTTTAAACACCTGTAGCCCTCCCATATTGCTTTGGTGCAGAATGGTTAGGATGGTGGAGTCGGTATGAGCGGCTAGACCCATGGCTCTTTCTGGTTCAGGGCAAACCGGGTAATGGTTTAGTCGTATGGCACGTTGGCCCACTTTTGATCCAGACTTCTCGGCTTTCTGAGCCCATTCAATATCATCTACGGTGACACCAAGTGAGTCCAATATGCAACACAAAAGTTTGTTCGCTAATTTTTCCATTTCCCTCTCGTATTCTTCGATTATTCCACTGCACAGTACAAATTACAAAAACATAATTACAGAAAAGTATTATTTTGCTGGGTGTCAAGACCCCAATAATCGCCGGGGAGTGTGATAAACAAAAATTCTAACATTTCATATATATATATATATGCCTAACGGAATACATATAATACATTTATGACTGGATCAAACAAAATATTACTCCAGTCTTGCAAACAAAATTTTTAAATTTAGATATTGCATGTGTAAACTTATAAACAGTAGTAACATAAATTTTATTTCCTACGTCGGTGGTTTACTCTCCATGGTTGTAACCGTTACGAAACTTTGTTGTTGTTAGTTTTGGTCAAAAGGCTCTGTCTTTTTCTGTTTTACAACAGTTTCAAACTCTATCTTTTCACTTGAAAATAACCTAATCTTTGCTCAGCAATAAACTTGAAATTTTTTTATTAAAAACTATGCTGGTAAGTTACCAGAATTTGGTGTAGTCATGGGGCCAAAGAGCAAGGAAATGGTTGCGGTAGGAACCATTGGCGATTGTAAACCCTTCAGACCACATTTTCTTCTCGAAAAAAGGAGAGATCCGAGGTTCGCCGTAGCCACTAGCTCCTTTGTCGGAGGAAGCTGCCTCGAGCTTCCTCTCTGGTGACATGTCGAAAAGGGTTTTGGAGAGATATTCGATATCGTCGATGAGCTTCTGAGAAACCCCGTGGTTTGCTACCTGAAAGGCTCCCCATGTTTTACACGCATTCCCTAACTGATTGGTGACATCGGGATCGGAGAGGTCGATGACCGGAATGGACTCTTGCACTGTGGTGGAGGAGGGAAGGACAACGGAGTCGGCGGCAGTGAGTTTCCAAGTGAATGAGTCGGGGAGTGTTTGGAGACTGCTTAAGTTTCCGATAGATACCTCTTCTGTTAGTGAAGGCATGGCTTCTGATATTGGGATATTGGGATGCTTCTGAGTTATGACATATATATATATATATATACAATTACTAAGGATATATATACATATATATTTGTTTACACATGTATGCACACACTTATGTTATGAGTATATGTAGATCACAACAAGTTTATTACATGCATATATGATGAGGATAAAATGACTTTTGTCCTTTTTTGGAGCTATAAACCAAAGTGATTTCACTAGCAAGATTATTGAGATACATCCACGACACGAGTACTTTCTGTATATATTAATAAGTTCAATTTATTGGGTCAAATTCCAAATTCCAATTACTCCTAAGCAATTTGTTAGAATCCACGTATTATAATTAGCAAATAGTCCGTGATCTGATTAGCAAATTTCGGTTTATAATATATGTATAACTGGTAAAATGATTTTCTAAATAAAACTAGCAATTTGATTGGAACCACGTACTACTGTGTTATGATAAAAACAAGTGTGTTCATGCATGGTATGAGTTACAGATTGGGTTTTGTCATTATTACTTTATAGAGAGCTTTAGTTGACCTCAGATTTGATTACTTTTAGAGCCGTTTGTAATTTTATACATCCAAATGTACCAGTTCAAAAAAGATATCAAATTGTAACAACTTTTCCAAATTTTTTTCATTAAAAATGGGGGAAAAGAATAATACCTTTTTCATGTATCCTATCTATGCAAAGTAGGACTCGTGTTGTGAAAATGAGGAACCACTAGTCTAAAATCTAAAGAGTTCATCAGAAGACATACTCAGAAAAAAATGTACCCAAAAATAAAAGTAGAAAAGTAAAAATCAAGAGATTTGGTCTGGAGAAGACAGATAGTTTCTAATAAAGGAAAGAGACTGATTAAAATGAGTAGCTTTGGTTGCAAGGTACTGTTTCCAAGTGAGAGATGGGTAAAGAGGAGAGTGGAGAGGATTAACGAGTTTCGGAAGCGGAGAGATCACTAGATCGGAAGGTGGACCCCACAGGTAAGCCATGGAGAAGCGAGGCCGAACGTGGTTGACCCTGGCTCGGTGAAGCACGCTCGGGAATATTCCGTTGGTCAGAATGTGGAGCAAGTCACCGACGTTGACCACAAGCGAACCAGGGACAGGTGGCACGGTGACCCAGCCTACGTCATCCCGGAAAACCTGCAGACCGGCTGTGTTGTTCTGGTAGAGTATGGTCATTAGAGTGGAGTCAGTATGGGCCGCAAGGCCCATAGCTCGGTCTGGTTCTGGGCATATCGGATAGTGGTTAAGTTGGATAGCGGCTTGGGCTTCTTGAAAGCCCGCACTTGACCCGGCCCATATAGTATCTCTTTGATCGACTCCCAGTGAACCTAATGCCAACCACATCAGCTTCGCTGCCAACATTTGCATATGTTGTTCATACTCTTGAATAATTTCACTGTTGAGTTGATGTGTGATTAGTATCCAAAATCTTGAAATGTATAAAAAACGTCATATACAATGACAATGCTGTTGGTTGGTGATCAGATATTTTTCCTACGATGAATGACATATTGTTTAATGTACTCATATATATCCTCTTGATAGTCTGATCTTTGAGACAGAGACCATCTTTTCGTGGGTCCATCAGCTTTCATTGTGCTTTTTACGGCATGGAAATATATTTCAGTTTCTACTTTTCCCTTTTCGGACTCTTCGTATATAATTGAATAGTCAACTGTAAAGTCATGTACTAACTAACGTCCACATAACTTTTTGGTTACATCTTAACATTTCGTGGTTAACTCCTGCTTCATCTTCATCAACATTTTTTAATATGTATTTTTACGTTATTGGATTATATCCAATGTCCAGTTAGTTAAAATTTTGACTAATCTATACAAATAAATATAGATATTAGAATTTAGAAAACTTATATATAATTATAATTATAACAAAAAAATTGGCAATATATCACATACAATTATTTTCAATCTTAACCATCAGTTTCAAATATTTTAATAGTTAATTTAATGAATAAGAAAATCATACTTAAAATATAATAATTATATTATTTATCATAATGGGATGGATATCCATTTTTTTAAAAAAAATAGTATTTATTATTTGCTTTGATTTAAACGGATATTAATTTTTTTAGTGGTTTTTTTGCTGTGTAAATTTATAGTTATTCATACATTTTTTCTCTAATCAAAATGGATAACAGATCGAAGCAAAACTAAATGATATTTTGTCCATCGCTAATATATATGGGTAGATATGTTACGTTATTATTATACGGGAAACGATAAAGATATGTATATAATATACCAGTACTTGAGGTGATGCCTGGGCCAAAGTTTATGGAAATCGTCAAGTGGGGAACCAATAACTGTGAAACCTTCGGACCACATTTGCTTGTTAAAAAAAGAAGCAATACGAGCAACGCCGTAGCCGGAGATGCCATTCTCCGACCGAGCCGCCTTGAGCTTCCGTTGGACGGGAAGCCGGAAAAGGCTTCCGGTGAGGAACTCGATGTGGTCGAGAAGTCGTGACGGTACGCCGTGGTTGGTGATCTGGAATGCCCCCCAAGTGGTACAAGCATGGCCCACACGAGCGGCCACGTGGGGATCGGAGAGGTCGATGAACGGTAGAGACTCGTCGGAGTCGGAGGCGGAGAAGAGAAGATCGTCCTTAGGGGTCCACGTGTAAGAGTCCGGGAGGTGACGGAGGGATTTGAAATCGGGTAAGTTTGAGAGTGGGATGTGAATGGGATGCGATATAAACGCATCGCTTAACGTTGAGGTCATCTAGGTTTATAGATAAAAATTTACTAGGAAATGTTAATTTTTTGTTAGTTATTTCCTTTTCGGTATATGATATGATGTTTGGTGGAGATGAGGAGTAGGAGTCGGAGTGTATTTATAGTAGCAAAGACTGAAGAGTAAGCTGTGATTGAGTATTTGATTGGTGAACACAAAACCTCCTTTTGGTCCATTCTTATTGGTTATATAATAAATCTCTTTTCTTTTCTGTCTATATTAGCGATTCTGTGTTTTTTTTTTTTGGCAGTAGACAGTTTTTTTTATACCCCGTCGTTCAAGTTTTATAAAAAAATAATAAATATATATATATATATATATTATTTGGAGAGTCCGTATTCCATTGCATATTTTCCTCTTTAAAACATTGATTTTTGAAGCCTATAGCCGCTAACAACTAAATTTAAGAATGTCAATACCCTTTTTTGTTTTTGTTACTGAATATTATTTTGACTAAAAATTAACCGAAGGTTTTGGTAGTGCGTTAGTTGTAATATATTTAAGTAAAAGGTAAGGCAGTTCGTAATCGCAACAATTCGTCGGTAAACCAACGAAACTTTCCCCACAGATAATGATGCTCTGTTTGTTATTATAGTTTAATTCGAAAAGCTGAGTAAAAGTCAAATGTACACTTCAAAATACAACATTGGCCTTTCGAAGATCATTCATGCCATTGCCATGGCCCATGGGGCCTTACTCCTTAGCCTCTCGCTAAACGACGAACTCGTCTCTCCTTGGAGAATCCTACCCCAACTGAAGGTTATTTTCGTCATTGTCAGTGATACTTGTGCTGCTGGAATCTAAAGAAGAATTGCCTCACATCATGCATACGTCATAGAACCAGGCCCATTCTTTATACATATATTTGGGAATTTTAAGAATACAATTTTCTCGACTTACCGATTTATGCGCAAGTCTCAGACAATATTGTTATCATATAAGAGTAAACCTCAAATTAAAAGTTTCAACAAAAAACACTGGAGATGTATAAAGTAAAAGTATAAGTTGTACCATACCATACATTTATGGAAAACACGTAGATAATACACATCAAGTACATAACACATGGACATGCACATCATCACTTTCAAATTGCAATTCATGTGCACGTGTTCCTCACATGATCATGCTTTCCAGTTTCCACGTCTATTTCCCATTTTGTCACGAACACGATATTTATATTTATACAATTATACTCACATTCACACCATTTATATATTTACATTAGAATATAGTTGACAATCGGAATCGTATATAACCTTTTGCATTTTTTTGTTGTTGGGTCAATTCAATATCTAACACATATAATAACAACACAGTCGGGATCGGGAGTTGAAATGCGTTTTTGACATGGTTGATAATGGTCCACGTTGAAATAACGCCTATCTTTCATATCATTTGGACTTATTTGGGTTTCTTTATTAAAATTTATTTCCGAAACACCACTAACGTATCGAAAATATATGTCGGACCTCTCCACTCAACGCTAAACTAATTACAGGTTTTCATATGTTATGTTGTCCAGCCTTTTTTTGTTCCAATACTAAACATATGTAGATGACAATAATCCACTGCGACAACTTAAAAACATATATACATTGATCACGAGATGATATAATTTTAGTTATTATTATAGAATGATGCAGGAACACTCCCGAAACTGGTCTGATGATAAACGGTGCTGCCTTGTCTCTTTACATTTTCACCGGCAGTGGATAATATATATATTGACTGATGAATGTTTTTGTCAACGATAAGATGAAATATCATACAATCTTATGTCTCTTCACTGCTTTCAAGTCTGAAACCCAAAAAATCGAAAAGACAAAAAGAAAAAACACATGGCAATTCTTTTTCTTCTGGTCGTAATTTAGAAACATAAGAATACATCATGATCAATGGCAAATAATAATGATATAAACAAACACAACAAGATAAAAAAAAAAGAAGAAGCACAACAATCATCAGACACCACTTGTGGTGGTTGGTTTAAGCCGATCCAAACTCATTGAACCACTTCTCGTGTTTCTCGATATCCGAGGAAGACACACTCGGCTGCACTTTCTTAATGGCCTCTTCGAAATCACACATCGCCACAGGATCGTTTGAGATATCGTCCTTTGACATGTTCTTTATCTCATCCCTCGTTTTGCCCGCTATCTTACGCCTCATCCCGTTCATAGACGCGTCCCTGCACACGTTAGTCAGATCGTCTCCACTGTACCCTTCCGTTCTCCGAGCCACATCTTCAATGTTAACATCACTCGCCACCTTAAAAGTCAAAACATATCCATCATTGCTACATTGCATTAGAAGAACCAGATAGATTCGCGATTATTATAACAATGTATGTACTTCACAACTAACCTCGACTGTTCTCAGATTGATATTGATAAGAGCCTTGCGACTTTCGAAATCCGGAAGTGGGATGTATATACGTTTTTCCAGCCTCCTCCTGCAGTTTCATTATATTTGAGCAAGTTTGAACCGGAAAAGAATAATTACATAACAGAAGAAGAAGAAGAAAATGAAACCTGAGAGCTTCATCTATGTCCCATGGGAAGTTGGTAGCTGCTAACACCATTACTATTTTGCGACTACCGTCTTCATTTGTCGCTGTATTGCTCACTCCATCTACTTGAACTAGGAGTTCTGATTTCACCCTTCTTGATGATTCATGCTCTCCAGAACCCCTGCATCATCAACTCTCACCAAATTTACACATGTGTACATTCAATTCGATGTTGAAATCTAACTGTGGTGAATAGAATTACCCCCGAGAATTGCAAAGTGAGTCGATCTCGTCAATAAAAATTGTGCTTGGAGCATATGCCCTGGCCAGATCAAACAGGCATCTGACCATCCGCTCACTCTCTCCACGCCATTTTGAAGCTAATGTAGCAGAAGAGACGTTGAAGAAGGTGGTGCCACACTCGGTTGCGACCGCTTTCGCCAGCAGAGTTTTACCTGTCCCAGGAGGACCAAACATGAGAACTCCTTTCCATGGTCTCCGAATACCCTGGAGGGAAAAAAATCAAACTAAGCAACTCTGGAAGATAAATGTTAAGAGAACCAAAAGTAAATGAACTGACGCTTTCATCTATGGTTGCTCCAGAGTCCAAAAATAGTAATATATAAATTCATATTTCTTCAAGTACCTGAAAGTATTCAGGCATCCATAAAGGAAGGACAACTGCCTCTTCAAGCAGCCTTTTGGCTTCGGACAAACCTGCAACATCATCCCAACGGACACCAGGAGTTGAGTCCAACACATCCCTTTCAAGCATAGCAGCCAGGTCCTCGTCAGGTCCCTCGTACAATCCCCTTTTTGACTTCCCGTCTTCAGCATCGCCATTCTGATATCAACGAGGAAGCCACAAGTTTGTTAGCAGTACGTGGGAACTACTGAATCAACAATCACCATTAAGAAAATAGAATACCAATCTCTAAACTCTCTAAATATGGAATCCAGCTGTAGACATTCATGATCAGTCCTACTAATAATGCACTGAGAAACTTATAGATCTTCATGACATTCTGCCTGTCTATCACCAAATTAAAGTAATAACCAGACTAAACGAAATGGTAACGCCACCGTCTCATGTGACTCATGGCCAATAGTAAAGTCAACCCCACTGTTTGAGGTAAAGCAATGCACCAAAAAGGCAGAGAAATGTATAAAACTAACCATAGACTCGGCCTTGGAAGATTTTGAGGCAGCTCCTTTCTTAACGGAAGTGGAAGAGCGGGAGCTTGCAGCAGACTTAGAAGTAGCCCCACCTCTTGCACCTCGGGAAGAAGGAGCAGTGCGTGTGGTTGGGCCACGAGCCCAAGCCCCATCCTGAGGTGATTTTCTCGTACCACTTTGACCAGACCTGGCGGGTCTTCTACTAGAAACATCACGGGTAGGAGGCCTCCACACATCAGGATCATCCATTGGACCACCACCGGAAGAAGTTGGATACTCATCCAACGGCTGAAAGACAAAGGAAGATTTCGTATTGATAGGCGGAGAAGCTGCACGACGCCCAGTGGGAGCTTCTTTAAATGCTCTCCTCTCTCCTTCCAATTGCTTCACGACTTCCGTCTCTTCCATTATGGCTTTTTTAACGTTCATCCACTTCGTCCGCGTCATAGGATCATCAAGGCTGTTCAAATGCCTATACACAGTGTAGCACCAAGACTGCTTTATTTCTCTTTCTCTACATCAAGGGTCTCTTAACCAATGCAGTTTCTAGGGATAAATGTAGCTTTTTTTTGTTCTTGTTGTTGAGAAAAAGAACAACCTTTGCAGTAAAATCGAAAATCAAACTAGCTAGGGTTCGAAGAAAATGCCAACGGGGGTGATAAAATCTAGATTCAAGACTCAAGGAGCTACTTACTTGTTGATCTGAGCAATGGCACCATCGAAGAAGATGACAGAAGTGTCGTAGGATCCTTCTAGTGCGTATTCTCTCGCTAATTTCAAGTGATCTTGTAGACCCGCCAACGAATTACTACTACCCACCATTTCTTCCTCTCGCCTCTTTTACTATACAATAAGCCGAAATCAACACGAAATCTAGGGCTTCGAATCAATTTTCAGGGCCCCCAAAGTTCCATTCTTCCTCTCCCTCCCCAGATTTCCGAGATGTGACTCGTCGGCGAAGTTGGAACCGACGGAAGACAAAGTAGAAGAAGAAGGAAGCCACGTAAATGCTTGTTCTGAATCCGGGTCTCTTTATTTGTTTTGGGTTTTAATTCAAATTTTAGACCCGGGCCCATTTACGGCCTACTTTAAAACCAATCAAAGCTAAAAATCATCATCGATTTCACTTTATTCCCCTCCTCTTTCAGAAATTGAAATTTCAAATTAAAAGGTTGCTCTTATATACAACAAAGCTATTCCAAAATTTGGTTATACAAATGAAAAGGGTAATTTCGCGTTTATTAATGGAAGATCATTTATAGTATGAAGTAAAAGAGTACTGTATATACAACTAAAGGGAACAGGATAACAACATTAAAGTTTCCCAATACAATGTGACTTTAGAATCAGCTGTATAGTATTTGAATAAACAGCAAACACTCTTTAATCTTTTATTTTATTTTTTAATTATAGCTTAATTATAACGTAAGGTTTCAGTCCACCAATCCACGGAGAACCAGCTCCTCTAATCCTTTCCGCAGCCTCTCAGCGGCGGCTCTCATTTGCTCCTCCTGCAGCCCTCCAAAGGAAACCCGGACATGGCCGGGGCTACCGCTTGCACAGCCCGGGATCACCACCACTCCATGACGGTGAGCCAGCCACCGCACCACCTTGAAATCATCTCTGTGTTCCTCCGGCAGTTTAGCCCACAGGTAAATCGCTCCTTCTCCTCCCTTAACGTTCTCCTTCCCCAGCGGCTCGAGGGCCCTTTTAACAACCTCCCTGTTCTTCACCAGACCCTTTACCCTTTCAACAATCCACCCAGCACCTTCCTCCAATGCGTATAAAGCCAGGCGCTGAGATATTATGGCCGCACAGATTGGGATGTTGTCCTGAATTTTCACTAGCTCTGTTGCAAACCCCTCTAACCTCTCTGAGTAAGCTATCTGCGTGTCCATCAAAACTTTCCATTAGGTAACTTCACCAAAAAACAATCAACAGTTTTGGCATAGAATATAGGATCCAGCCACTCACATATCCAAGCCTCCAACCCATCATCCCGTAGGTTTTAGAGAAGGAGAAGACGTTAACAATGTGGTCTCCCTCAACGCAACAGTGTTTTAACCCGTCATACATGAAATACCTGCGATTTTGCAAAATCCACATTCAATTTGGAGCATCACATCATGGGACTTGGCAAAAGAGAAAACTCACTCGTATGTGTTATCTACAATCAGCCAACACCCTGCATCTTTGCATATCTCCGAAATCCTCTTAAGCAGCGGTTCAGGGACATAGGTGCCGCTCGGGTTGCCAGGATTCACAACAGTTACAACTTTCGGGGTGGGTTTAGACTCGGAGAGTGTCCTCTCTAACCAGTCTGGAAATCACACGAGTCACACAACTCGAAAGCTTTTTATATATAGTAAAGTCATGAGAATGTAATGCAGAGCCAAGGGGGAGGTACCAGCGTCGGGATGGAGAGTCTGTGGATGGCCAGGACCAACAATAATGTCGGTGACTCCTGTCATCTGGAAGGCCATGTAGGCGTTGAAGTAGTATGGCTCAAACATGACGACCGAATCACCAGCATCACATAGTGTAAGAACAAGATTCACAAACGCCTGCATGTGATACCCAAAGAAAAACACAGAGTATGAGACTCGAAGAAAACAAGAACAAAAGAGGCCTTTGCAATGCAACCCATTGATTGGCACCAAAGAGAAAGATCGGTTTACCTGATTGGCACCTGCAGTAACCATCACTGCTGATTTGGTTAGCTTATTCTCGTCACGCAGCTTCAGAATACAAACACGAGGAAGTCACAAACAAAGAAAAAAGAGCAGCGAAGATGGTAGCTTTAAAAGATGAATAGAAGAAAAGGTTGCAGCAAAGAACAGAGCTTTCTTCAGTGAATGGTACCTTATTGAGGAGAGCCTCTCTTAACTCGGGAATACCTTCATCGGGTCCATAGGAGCTAATGGTGGGATCCCACACAAGCTCCTTCACCTTTGCTAAGGCCTTTTCAGGGGGTTGCCAATGCACCACTCCCTGCAATCACATGAGCAGGGGATTATATTGTCTTTTGTTACTTTTGATGAAGCAAACAGAAACAGCAGACTCTCTTTAACCTGAATTAGATTCCAAGACTCACGAAATCCAAAGCCTTTTGTGAAAATCTATAGTCCATACACACATTCCTAGAGGACAAACCTGAGCGAGAGACATGGGGTTCGTCAATTCCGCCATCAATTTCCGAATCTGCACGCAAAAACACCATTCCAACAATTTCTTATATATATATATATAAAAAAAAAAAGAGAACGAAAATCAATCCGAGTAGGAGGATGATGACCTGAGCCATGACGGGCATATCCGTGGCCAGTGATCTCCTCGAAAGCATCCCGAACGAACCCATTTCGATATTGATCGGAGAAAGCTGGAGGGAGGGGGGAATTTCAGGGAATCTGCGATTAGGGTCCAATTATTTATGTAACAAAAAAAATCAAGAGTTTAATTAATGCTCGGATCCACCACCTAATGCAAAAGGGGGAATCCGCGGATCGTTGACAAAAACCTAAAAGAGGTATGAGCGTTAAGCACGCCTTTTTCGTCGTCTTCTTCACCACCAACCCCCTCCCTGGATTTTACTTTCATCATTTTCTGCTCTATGTAATACTTATATACTTTCTTTACTCCAAAATAAAACAAAAAGGTTTTTTATCAACTTTAGTAGATACATGTGTAGTCCAAAAAGAAAAAAAAGTAACGCCTTTGTTATCTTCTTGTATGATCTCCATCCAATTTGGCTGCTTTTGTTTTTGCAGACTCGCCCAAAAGCAGCCTTTAAATTCCATTTTAACTCAAATGATATCTGATAATCAGTCCAAAGAGTAATAAAAAGACTAAGGAAAACGTTTAGGTTAGTTGCACTGAATGATGATGCTCTTTCACATGTTTGCCTGAGAAAAGGAATCACACGTCGCGTTTCAACGTAAGAATGGATTGATTGATTTGTGTTTCATTTTCCTATAATCACATAAAGACCCTTCAAGTTTCCTTGTATTTGATCATTGAACCCTTATCTTCACATTACTCTGTTTTTGCCCTTCAATTCACCACCTTCATGGGCTGAATGCTGAATGCATGTGTGTATATGTACGCAAAGGCATATATTCTTCGATCATGTTTCTTACAAAAGGAGTAGATTGGATCATGTTATATATCCCAAAAGGCCAAAACTTGCATGAAAATTATTTGGATGTGTTCAGATGAATAAGGGAGTAGTATTGGAGGGAAAGTTGAGGGGTTCAAAAATAAAAACAATTGAAAAATGGAACAACCAAACACACGACAGATGATTTAAATGTCTGTAAGATTATAGATCTGTTTCTCTGAGTTTGAAATCCCCTTATTACTTTTTTTTTTTTCGTTTTTCTTTTTGTATGTTAGTTTGAAATCGTAGATCTAACTTTTTGGATAAAACCGTAAAACGTTATTACTAAGATCCACGACGACCGCTCGATACGTCATTCTCACACAAACAGCTTTAACGCATTAGTCTTGAAAATAAAATAATAGATGATGTCTCTCTTAAATTTGAAAATCCAAGATTACTCTCTACTGTAGCTTTGAATATGTAACTCCCATGTGGTAAAGTGGTAAGACGTTTGGTTCTATATAAACTACTCTAGCTCCTCATTGTAGCTTTTTAATTACTCGTGTCTTGTGCGTCTATATAAATTATACTTTTCAGTTACTCTTTCTTTCTATTATTTCTTCCGTTATAGTAAATCATTTAACGTCTTAGTTTCGATCCAATTTTTTTGACTTATCATCATCTTTTGACTTTATTGTAGTTTCGCTTATTATTAATAAATAAAAAATTACACATGCCTATTTTTCAAATCTTAACTTTATTTCAAATTCAGTTCACATTTTAAATCTATAAGTTTCCCAGCCAAAAAAAAAAAAAAAAATCTATAGGTATACCTACGGGGTACGGAAAATTGATCATTAAGTTGTGGTCTCATGGAACAGAACAATAGCTGAAATTGCAGATTCCACCACTTAATTATTCACTTCCTGAGTTAGTATCTTTTCTTTTTCTGAGTGGTTCCTGTGGATCTAACTATTAAACTAATTTGTTTATGTTTTTAATCTTATGCGTCCAATGCCAATGAGATCTATTACAGGTTAATAATTCATGATATTTCAAACATTTTAGTATGTATTAACGTTTGATCGTGGAGAAATCTCCCCCTAAATAAGCAACTTCATGGAGATTTGGTCAATGTAACCGTTGAGAAAATCAGATATAAGCTTTGTTTTATTTTGACATTAAAAGATAATGTTATTTTAATCAATAAATACATAGACACGACACAGTCCAAAAATGCTTTTAAAACGGAGCAAATCCAATGGAAATAAAACGGATTCTTTAAGTTGAAAGGATAATTTAGAATTGATGGATGGATGGATCTTTAGCATGTGGTATCCAAATAAGCTTCAAGAAATATTAAAAAGAATCATGAAAACGTAAAAGAAAATAACAAAATTAAATAAGAAGACTGATTCAGGGGTAAACGTGCATTTGGTCTTTGTTTTTATTTCACCAGTAAGTTATTTTTTATATATACATTTCAAAAGTTTAAACTTTACCATTAAAAAATAACTGGTGGAATCTATCTTTAATTCTTCAAAATCTGACCAGAGTTTGTAATTTAATCACTTGTATTCACCTTTTAAACAGAATTACGTATATAATCACTTTTTATTTACCTTTGGATGAATAGCCACGCTGTCTAGAACAGCACCACATTTTTAAAATGAGTAACAGCGCATTTGAACGGTGTAAATAAATGTGTAAATTATGATACATTCATTGGTAAACGTAACTATTCCTCGATCGTTTCTTTACTTTTAATTGTTTTTAGTTTTTTTTTTTAATTTAAATTCATCAACAAAAATAAATAAGAAAACATTCGAACAAAAGAAAAACAACATCTGCATCACAAACAGGATCCTCATTAATTACAACAGGTTAATGGAGAGATGGAAATGACACAGAACCCGAAATAGCAAAATGTGATTATTATGAAAAAAGGTAAATGATTAGTTACCAAAAATTTATGTTTTCACAAAGCAAATTGAAAAAATTAACGACTAATCACTTGATCAAAAATTTCCACAATAAAGAAAAAACTAAGTTAGTTGTTTCTTTTCCCCCTAATTTCATGGTCAAACAGTCAACGAGTTTCGTTAGAAGTACATAAATAAACATTTCTTTCTAATAACAAAGTTTCTATTTTAAAATAAATAATTGAATTATAATACTATCTTTAAAAACCCTTCTCTATCCCGCTCACTTCCACAGACAGTCCCTTTGCATAAAAGAGAATTGACTATACATTTACTCTCGATCTGCCCAAGCTCCCATCTTTTTCTTTCTTTTCTTCTTCCAAGAGCAAAAGAAATCCAAAGGGGCTCCCTTTTTTTTTTTTTAAGAAGCGTAGTAAGTTCCCATCGCAGTCTGTCTCCCTCTTCTCCGTTTTAGATTTTCTTTTTGAAATGTGATGTTGTTCGTACGCGCACCTGCATTTTTTTGTTCTTGTTGGGTTTCTACAGAGGATTTTCAGATGAGGTTTTCTTGAAACTTTCTCTAGGTTTTGAAGCTTTTCGCTTTATGGGTCACTCGGATTTTTCTCATGGGTCTGTTTTGTTTTTCTTGGATTAAAGAAAATTTGAGTTGTTGATTCCTCCTTGGTGTTTCTAACAAGGGATCGATCGGAGAAAATTGGAGATCTTGCATCTCTAGATTTTCTCATGGGTCTGTCCAATCGTTTTCATGAAAAAAAAAACTGGATGCTTCTGAGTAGAAGCTTGATGTAGTTCCTACTCTTCCTTCCGATTTTTAATCGATTATAAAATAAACATCTTTTTATTTATTTATAAAAACCCATAAAATGAGGAGAGAAAAACTTAGATTTTCCAATCCTAATTTCTCTGATATTTTCTCCAAATTCTGCGCGAAGTCGCTCAGTGTTAGCTCTAAAATTGCTGCGACTTTTTCTTTTCCGTAGTTTGTTCATTTCAAGTGTTGAGGCCCTGAGTGTTTTTCTGCATTACTGTTTGGATAATTTTCATCAAGGAAATTAAAATTTACTTATAATTTCACCTTTGAATCTGACTTAGTTTGAAAAAGTTTGAAACTTTGGAAGTTGAATGTATCTTCGGCGAACCAATTTTCCTGTAGAAGTCTGCAAAGAAAAAGATACTGTGTAACAATTGTATGGTGCATTTCCGGGTTAAATCGTTAATGGTCATCGTTTCTCATAATTAAATAAACTTCCTTTTCTGGACGAAACAATTTCTCCGAACATCTTATATGCATTGGTCTTTTTCCATAATAGCTTGTCTGTTTTAGCTGGATATTGATCTCTCTGTCATGTTGCATCTTGTCTCAACATCTGCATACCATTGATCCTTTCGACTTCAATTTCACAGATCTGTAGATGCTGATGTTGTGCTGAGACCAAAAAAGTCAAAAAGGTTGGATCATCTCAGCCTCTCAGAGAGTTTCAATCATGGGAAAGGAGAAAGCTGTTTCTGGTCACACCATACCACTCCATAGTCGCCCTGTAACTCGTGCTCTTGCGCTTGCTCTGCGTGCTTCTTCTAAGCTGACAACATCTTCAGAAGCGGCTGCTACTACACAGATCAACCAGGGACGGGTTCTGAGAGCAAACTGTAAAAGACCATACTTGGATGAGAAGAAAGCCAATCCACCTAAGAAGCGAGCTGTTCTTAAGGATATCACAAATATTACCTGCGAGAATTCTTACAGAAGTTGCTTCAACGCAGCTAAGATTCAGGTTGTTAAAATGCACAGTGCTGATTCTTACGTTAACAAGGAGTATGTTCACTGCTGACAATTGTAGTTTTAGGTGGAGAACATCAAGCAGATAAAGAAGGGAAGGGCAGGTTCTTCCATGGTGGCATCATCCTCTGCTACTTCAGAAGTTACAGATGCGAAGGTAGAAGCTGTGTCATATGCGGCAGGAGTAAGCTTGTCTGGTTGTACAGGCACGAGCTTAGACACAAACGAAGCATCTTGTAGCTTTATCCAAAAGCAGCGGAGTTCCAGGTTGCCTCCAAGACCTCTTGAGAGATCAGCTTCTACAGGTGAGATTTACGAGATGTCAGTTAGTGTTTCTGTGTGAAGGGATTTACAACATTTCTGATTCTGATGCTTTTGTTTTTCTTCTTGCAAATGGTTCACAGTTGAGGGAAGTTGTTCCACTGTGGCAAGTAGCCCGAAATTCGTTGACATTGATTCAGATGACAAGGATCCTTTACTCTGTAGCCTTTACGCACCTGAAATCTACTACAACATGCGTGTTGCTGAGGTACTATAATAATAAAAAATTCATTGGGATTTTGAAATCTTAGGACGATGGAATCTGATTTCTAACAACTTGTCTGCTTCGCAGCTTAAACGCAGACCATTTCCTGATTTTATGGAGAGAACTCAAAAAGATGTGACTCAGACAATGCGGGGAATTCTGGTTGATTGGCTTGTAGAGGTTAGTTTTAGATTCCCTTTTTATTATTATTTTACTTGAAGAAGTCTCTTTGTATGTAATTCTCACTAGTCAAAAATTTTCAGGTCTCAGAGGAATACACACTTGTACCTGACACTCTCTACCTCACAGTATATCTGATAGATTGGTTTCTGAATGGAAACTACATGGAAAGACCAAAACTTCAATTGCTCGGCATCACTTGTATGCTCATTGCTTCGTAAGTTCCTCATCACCTAGTAAAATATGTTCACAGAAAAGGGCAACATCTAAAAAGAGTTTCTTGAAATATCTCTTAAAAGGAAGTATGAGGAAATCTGTGCGCCACGCATTGAGGAGTTCTGCTTCATCACGGATAACACGTACACTAGAGATCAGGTCCTGGAAATGGAGAGCCAAGTACTCACGCATTTTAGCTTTCAGATTTACGCTCCCACTTCAAAAACATTCCTCAGGTAATCATCTCACTAGACACAGTGGAAAGGCTTCATATAGATATATACGTTGTATGTAATTTGCATGATGCAAAGTTTCCATTTTTGCAGGAGATTTCTCCGAGCAGCTCAAGCTTCTCACGTGGTAATTTGCTTTCTTTCATCTTCTTCAGATGTATCGATCTATCCATGCTCATTAAACATTTAGCAGAAAGACTGAAACTGTTTTGGTATATATTGATTGATGATCTGCAGAACCCAAGTCTGGAAATCGAGTTTCTGGCGAATTATCTGACGGAGTTGACGTTAATGGACTATCAATTCTTGAAGTATCTGCCGTCGGTCATTGCTGCATCGGCTGTTTTTCTTGCCAAGTGGACATTGAACCAATCAAGCCACCCTTGGGTCTGTTCTTCTTCTTCGTTAAGACACATATCGCCTCTGTTCTGTTTCAAGAATCTTGAATCTCACTCGTCTTTTTTTTTTTGTTCTTGTCCAGAATCCAACGCTCGAGCATTACACAACGTACAAAGCCTCCCATCTCAAAGCATCTGTTCACGCCTTGCAAGATCTGCAGCTCAACACCAAAGGATGCCCCTTAAACTCTATACGCATGAAATATAGGCAAGAAAAGGTAAAGCAGAGTTCACATCTCTGTTTGGTTTTGTTTAACCGTTCGGCTTAATCATCGCTCTCGTTATGTTAACAGCTTTCTTTTATTTTGTTACTTTTAAAATTTACAGTTCAAATCCGTGGCGGTATTCTCTTCTCCGAATCTACCTGACAAGCTATTCTTCTGAGAAGCTTTGAGACTAAACCGAGCGGTTCATCTCCTAACCGACGATGCTACACAACTGTAACTTTTCTGATGGTCCGGTTCGTCCCCGTTACACACTCTCTGTCAAATAAAAACAGAACATCTTTTCCACGGTCTCTCATACCCAGTAGCCGGATTAGTTAGGGTTCGGTTTACTCCGGTTTAGTGTAGACTTGTTTGGTTCTCCCAAACCTGATTTGTGATCGGTAACACGAGATTATTTTAATTGTAAGTCGGATGTAGATTTTTTTTTTTCTCTGCGATGAGGAAAATTTCTGCTTCGGAATAATTTACATCTTGCTTATAACTTAAACTAATTAACTGACCGAAGATATTAGAGCATAACAAAAATTAAGTATTGACGGAGAGAGACAGTGCATTAATTACACATTATCCAACGGAGGAATATGACTCACATATTATGTGGCACGATTGTTTTTTGATTTTTTTATATTTAATAAATTAATAAAAATAGCATCAAATTGCTTCTTCTTCTTCATTGCTGATGTGTCGCTCTGCTTTGAGATAGAGAGAGAATGGCGGTCGCAACTTCAAGTTTGCCATGGCAAGCGACTCTTCAGCATTATAATAATAGGCTTTCTCTCAAAGATTATCCGTTTCCGTGTCACTCTAATCCTATTTGCAATAATTCTAATTTCAAAAGACGTATTGTTTCTTCTTCTTCCAAATTCAACGACCATGTCGTCACTACCAATTCTCCCTCCTCCAAGCTTCAAGGCCATTTCTCAATCTCTGGTAAAAAACCCTCCGAGTTCCCAATTTCTTTTCCTGGGTTTCTACTAATTTCTGGTTTGATTCCGTGATTTTTGTGGTTCAAGTTTTGCTCTTTTGCTATTGTGGAATGTTTGGTTATTACTAAATGGTTTGCATTTGTTTGAATTAGTAATATAATCCGTATACATTTATCGAAACTATTGGAGCTCTTGTGTTGATTGAGATTGTAACCGGCCCTGCGTGTTAGGTTGTGGATGCTCGTGGATTCAGGACAATTCAATGGTTAAAGATTCAGCTGCAAGCAATGGGAGGTGGAAGAAGTGGTCGGCGTTACCGGCAAAAACAGTGGATGTGTCTTCGGTGTCAGATCTTTTTGAATTCATATGCTCGGGTCCTCTCGTAGACAAGATTGGTATCACTCCTGAAAGAGTTGGCCAGGCCATTGACAAGTGGTTACTCTATGGCTCACAACTCTGCAGACTCTTTCAGCTTAATGAGCTTATGCTCACGCTTCCTCAGAGAGCTAGGCTTTACCATTACTATATCCCCGTCTTTGTTTGGTGCGAAGATCAGATTGCTCTCCATAACTCCAAATTTCAAGATGGAGATGATGTGCCTCCATTAGTGGTACCAATTGTGTTTCTTTTCCTCTTTTTTTTTCTTGGTGATGATCAAAAGACCTGTTAGATAGATGATGTGATTGGAAATTGCAGATTGGGTTTAGCGCACCACAAGGATGTGGCAAGACTACACTTGTGTTTGCACTTGATTATCTTTTCAAAACTACAAAAAGGTACATTGCTCCACTTTAATTTACTTCATGTATGTCTAGTGATTCCTCCTATACTGACAAAAGCAATATCTCAGGAAGTCGGCGACAGTATCCATAGACGATTTTTACTTGACTGCACAAGGGCAGGTCAGATATTTTACTTGTAGCTTCTGTTGTCTGGACCTTCTCTTCTCCATTTATTACCTTATATTGTTCTTCTTCTTCTTATTTTTTCTTTTTCTCAGTCTAAATTGAGAGAAGATAATCCAGGAAATGCACTTCTAGAGGTAAACTCATCTCCGAATTCCCAACATTTTATTCTTTTGTCCGTCTATCTTTTCTGTAGTTTGAAAATATCGCCATTGTTTCATATATGTTTTCAGTATCGTGGAAATGCAGGAAGCCATGATCTTCCCTTCTCTGTCGAAACACTAGATGCCCTGACTAAACTGACCAAGGACGGTTAGTTTCATTTATAAAGTTTCAATCTTGGCTCTTATTCTCTTATTTACCTTGTGATCATTTACAGGCATGAAGATGAAAGTTCCTCGGTACGATAAGGTGAGCCACAGCTTATCACACAGAGTGAAAACAGAGGAACTTGTTGATATATTATACCTATTTGGCTGCAGTCTGCTTATAGCGGGAGGGGTGACAGAGCCGAGGCAACAACATGGCCTGAAGTCGAAGGACCTCTAAAGGTATTTTCTAGCTTTAAGTGCTTCTGTTCAAAGTTAAAAATGAAACAAGACCACTAATGATTTTGTTTGGTCGATTTCTCCAGGTTATTCTCTTTGAGGGATGGATGCTTGGTTTTAAGCCTGTTCCAGCTGAAGTCGTTAAAGCAGTGGACCCGCAGGTTATCTCAACTCACTTAAAACCATTGAGTAGTATGTATATACATGTAAGATTGCTTCCTAAAATTGAAAAACTCTGTTCTCTTTCTACAGCTGGAGATTGTGAACAAGAACCTTGAAGCGTATTACGAGGCATGGGACAAGTACATCGACGCATGGGTGGTCATCAAAATCAAGGACCCAAGTTATGTATACCGGTGGCGTCTTCAGGTCTGTAAATCTATCTGTTAACAAACAAAAACCTAACAGTACAAAACATGATTTTGTGGTTTGGTTTTGGGCAGGCGGAAATCGCCATGAGGCAGGCTGGTAAAGCCGGGATGTCAGATGATGAGGTATTGTGATACGTTTTCATTTTTCTTGAGACAGTTGCTAATTAATGTTGAAATGTATCTGTGTAGGTGAACGACTTTGTGTCGCGGTATTTGCCGGCATATAAGGCCTATCTTCCGACCCTTTACGCGGAAGGACCAAGCGGGTCGGACCCAGACCGTGTCCTTGCCATTGATATCGACGAAGAAAGGAACCCGATACTCGCAAACTAGTCATGTCTTTTTCTCCTACATATGTGCCTTGAAAGTCTTTCTCTTTCTATGTTAAAGAGAGAGAGTCACGCTTTCTATCTTTTTCTCCTATATACATACAGTATGCTGTCTGTTACAATGGTGCACATATATGTATTCTTTTTACTTAATTTTTTTAATATCATTTTATAAAAAAGTAAAAAATTTTGATCGGTTGTATTCGTGTGGGGGTTTAATGAAGCACGAAAATCTTGCCCGTCTTGTCGATGTCACCATGTTCGGATCGTGGTGTTTTTGTAATAGTGATTTTTTGAATAAAATTCTTATTTCTTGTAGTCATTAACACAAAATAAACAATAGTAGTACTATACTACTATTTATAGTGCTTCAAATGTATGAAATATTTAGCATATATTGCTATTCGAAGATACATTTGTATAATATCTCTGACAATATGTATGCATTTGTGATCGTAATATTATGGACTTAAAGACAAATCCGATGCAGCTTCGTCTTCGTGAAAGTAGAAACAATGATCATGGCTCATGAGAGAACTCGCAGAATATTAATGAAGTTTCTGATTCATATATACCAAGATGATTGATTCGCAGAAAAGTATCTAATGGATGATGAAATAGAGATGGCAAATGTTTCTAAGAATTGCAAGTCCTTAAATGAAAATTCCTCCGTACGATAAAGGTGAGTCACAACTTGATTTTACATTCTCTGCCTTCTCACTTTGTATCACAAACGGAGGAACCAGATCTATATAACTTCTCTTGAGATATTCCTATTTGGAATTGGCTGAACGTAACCCAATAGCATCCGCGGCTTTCATCAACCGCATACGTTTGCACGATTCCACAAACATCCTACGTTCATAAAGTAATCAAACCCAAGAAAAATTAGTTGATAAGTTTATTTATTTTGAGTTTGATTAAAACGTGAAGAGTAATCAAGTAAGTTTTTTTTGTGTGTGTACAAATAGTAATCAAGTAAGTTAAGATCCACAAGGGTAATTCAGGGAACTCACATCCACGGCACATCTCCGACCAACATCCAGTCACCGTCCTTATCCTCGTAAGTTGCCATAAACTCTCCGCCCCTCTCCAACTCAGTCGTCACCTTACCTACGACCGTCAAATAACCACACTCCAAGTAAATTTACATATTAAAACTCTGTCTTCTTCTTCTTCTTAAACATTATAATAAACAATCCCTCCTTGATTACTTACATATTGTTACGTGCCCTTGAAACATGTTTTCTAGAGCGGTGAAGAGTTGACCGTAGCAATCGTACATCCCTAGATCGACTTTTCTGAGATAGGCCGCACCATCCACCGCAACTTTCACGTGTTTCCTCCGCCTCGCCGTACTCACCGGCGGCCACCCTACCAATCGGTCACTAAAACCAGAAAGAAGAAACATGCGATCAGTGAAACATGCATAGGTATACGTATTTGTAACAATGACAACATAGTTAATAATAATATGGCGTACTAAGTGTTGCATGAGATGTAATCGTCCACTTGTCCTTCCCCGAGTTTCAAGTCAATGGTCTCGATGAATCTACGACGTTTGTTTCCGGACTTTTGCTGACCGTCCGATGCCTTTATGGGAGCGCCGGGCAGGGCTAGGGTCAGTTCGGTTCCTCCAAGATCGCCGGATTCTTTGGCGTATTCCTCCGGTGACATTAAATCTCTGTCTTAATTAATCTCTTTTTTATATATTTAATATAAAAGCTAAGAAGAATGAGAGACAAAAATGGCACTAACTTTTGGCATGAGTGTGATGAGGGTTTTCAGCTCTGTCTTTATAGTGGTCGTCAGCTAAAACAAAAACCTAGTGAATAATGACGACACGTCGTCTCCATGTACGTAACTGGCGGTTTTGATATCTCCACGGAAGCAAGCGAATAGTTGGTGATTAGCCTCTGCTTCCTCTGTGACGTGGTCCCTGCATCTACCGTTTTCTAACCAAGTCTTTTTCTGCAACAGTTTTCATTAAGCACTTAGTTCATTAGCATCGATTGTGTCATTCGTGGATTTGCATGTGTACAGATGTCCTCTCAGATTTGAACTAATTCCTGATCGTAAAACAGCAAATTTATTGGGCTCATTTAGTTCGAGAGGACTCAGCTCCATCTCATGTCATGTGTTCGACTAAAGCCAGAGAGAAAAAAAGACTTAAATTGCGTACTTTCGAGTACTGTGTATGTTGAAAAAGATGCCTAACTATAATATGTTGAAAGTATATAATAAAACAGAAACAAAAAATAATTCCATATAATTGTTTGTGTTTGTCAATTTTAGTTCAAATTATTATTCGAGAGAGATCTTTCAATAGTGTTCCTTTTGTCTACACTTTGTGTTATCTTTCCAAATAAATGCCACCATTATATATGTAACGTATACATATATATATATATGTATCAGTTTTCACTGTCGGTCGAAAATATTGCATATTTAGCTGAGGCCATTAGTGTAGTACTTTGATCTTAATTATCCATCAACGCACATTCGCACACTCTGTAAGTACGCTACTTTTTGAAATCAACAAAATATAAGATTCTCGAAAGAACGTATGATCTTGCTAGTTTGTGTATGTGATAACTGTTTTGTGTGTGTACTTTATAGTATTACTTGAGTGTGAGAGAACTGTTGTCACCATTTTCAAGTGTTATTTACTACTAACTCAGTAAGTAACCCAAAACACGAATCATAGAAAAGGAAAAAAACGTGTAGACAAAAGAAAAGAGCGAGACATTTATCACTGCAGTAGGGTCACGCATAAGTCACGTGATTCTGTTTCTTCGTTGGGAAACATGAATGATTCGCGACGCTTCATATCATTATTATTCTTCGACCAATTAAGAGTTAAGACAGCCAAATGAATAGTGTCCTGCTAAGTAGACACGTGATGAAACTTACCGCTTTCGATTGCAAATCCGTGACCGGTAATTCCGGTCAGCCATTCTTTTAAAAATTTTGTTTTTTTTTTTGTCGTTTTAAAATGGTCTATAATAATAATGACAAGATTTCTGTAAATCATGATTTGTTTTGTTTTCAACAGTGACCTTTTTGTTTGTTTATTATTCAAAACAATAACTCGTGGTCAGTTTCTACGGACTAGTTGTTATCACTTACCCGTAATGATAACTCGAGCTCCTGTAAATTTATAGGTTCGTATAAGAAGATAACGAGAGTAACAAAACGATGCAATTGGTAGCTTATCTCTTTAATGTATTGGATCACTGCTCTTATGATTTAAACCAATATAGAACGGCCTCTTTTCCTGTAATGGGCTTAAGGTACGTGATCTGGGCTACATCTATGGATTAAAATGGATCTGTAGTGCTCTTATGATTTGGAATTTTTTTTTGACATTTTTAGAACGATCGAACTAGCTGGATTGTGAAACAAATTACAACTCTGACTTTAGGCCTGTTTTCCTAAAATGGGCTTAAGCTACATCTGGGCTACATGGATTAAAAGCCACAAACAAGATGTTAGACATGACCGTCCGATCGGGTATAACTTAGAACCCTCAAGATCCAACGGTTAGAAATGCAGGCATAACGAAATCTCTAAACCATTTTTAGTAATCACTCTCTTGTCCCTAATTACTGCGAAAGCTAGGAAAATCGGCCGAATTAATTTTCTTTGTATTTTTGTCTTTCTCAAGAATGGAAAAGGAGAAGAGTAGAAGTAAGACAACAACAGCTTACTCGCAACTCTCTGTATTGAAATCCTGATTGCTGCTTTTTCAGTTCTGGTAAAGGCTTCACCATTTTATCTACTCTTTCGTCTTTGTAATTTGGTTTCCTTGGATCTTGTGTCTCGACTTTTTTATTTTATTTTTATCTTATCTTGTTTCATTTATCCCGATGTTGTTGTGTGTTTCAAGACCGCGTATTATTATGTTATGGCACGATTGAAGTTGTCTGAATCCTGGTTTCTGGGTTCTTCAGAATTTAATGGATTTGAAAGAGTCAAAATTGAATTGTGGGTCTTACCTGAAGTGAGTGGGATAGGGCTTCTCCAATCCTCTGTTTCCTACTCTTGACTGTGGATTTTTGATCTGCGCTTGTTAATTCTCGCATATTCCTTTTAAATATCATCCATTTTTGGTTCGATATCTCATTGGTTTAGCTTGTGCTGTAACAGGTGCGTGTCTAGCATTTGTTGTTGGTGAGATTGCGTTGGTCTGCTACGAGTAGTGGATTTGAATGTCACAGCCAACAAATGTCAAGAAAACTCTGTTCTAGTTGCTGACTTGCGCACATTTCAGTTTTGTACTTGGATTTAGATGGATGTTTCTTCGATTGGACGACATAGAAGCGAAACTGACCAAGATCCTTTGTTAATGGAGCACGACGAAACCCACAATAATCGAGAGCACATCGTTGACATCACAAGCAATGACGAGGACTCTTCGTCAAGAAGATCTTCTATCGATGAGCCAACTCCTGAGGTCAGCTCCCATCAAGGTGAAGCGAGAGTATCATCAAACGGCACACAGCACACGACGCAGAGAGCGAGTTCCTCTGGAAATGGTCGCCGTAGCAGTAACACTAGTGGTAGGAGTCCACTGAACTCTGGCCTTTGGATTTCAGTGGAGTTAGTTGTCACTGTGGCTCAGATTGTTGCAGCGATAGTAGTAATGGTTCTGGCTAAAGACGAGCGTCCAGAGGCGCCCTTGTTCACATGGGTTGTGGGATATACCTCTGGCTGTGTAGCCACTCTCCCTATTCTCTACTGGCGTTTTCGCACTTATAACCGACGTACAGGGCAACACTCTTCTTCTCAAGCTCAAGGAGGCAATAATGGTAATAGTAATCCCTCAGACTCCGCACCATATACACCCGTCTCAGTAGCTCAAGCGCCAGATGAAGAAAACAGCATCGGCACGACGGCTGCACCTAGGAACAATCAAGTTGGGGAAAGCTTAAGAACAAGGTACACGTAGTTGTTGTTCTTTTGGCCTTGAGATATGAAGCTAAGATATCAAAACTGATGACGTTTTATGACTTGCAGGCTGAATGGGTTGGTGGACCATTTCAAGATGGCGATAGACTGTTTCTTTGCGGTGTGGTTTGTTGTTGGGAATGTATGGATATTTGGAGGCCACTCGTCTCCTTCTGATTCTCCTAAACTCTACAGGTTATGTATAGCGTTCCTTACTTTCAGCTGCATTGGGTATGCGATGCCATTCATACTCTGCGCAACCATCTGCTGTTGTTTGCCTTGCTTAATCTCTGTTCTCGGCTTTCGGGAAAACTTCTCACAAACTAGAGGAGCCACTGCCGAGGCCATCGACGCCCTGCCTGTCTACAAATTCAGATCCAAAAGCAGAAATGATTTGGAGTTTTCAGAGGAAGGTGAAGGCGGGTTTCTTCTTTTGGGGTCCCAGAAGAAACGTCTTATATCTGGCGAAGATGCTGTGAGTAACTTACGCTCAGCTGCTCTCTTTTGATTCCGCCATGGATTCATTCAAAGTTTGGCATTTCTGACTTCAACTCTTAACTGTTGGATGTTTTTGGCTCTGCAGAGCTGTTGCATCTGCTTGGCCAGGTATGGAGACGACGACGAAGTTCGAGAGCTGCCATGCTTACATGTCTTTCATGTAGACTGTGTAGACAAATGGCTTAAAATCAATGCGACTTGCCCACTCTGTAAAAATGAGGTCGGAGAAAGCAGCACCGCTTCTTCATAGACAATATAGCTGAGAACCAGAGAGTTTGTGTTATGTATATAGACTTCAGACTTGTATAGTTGAGATGTGTTTATTCATTTTGTTTGTTCAAGAGCTGTAACTTTCCAACTCAATAAATTTCCAAATAATATTACGTATCATTTGAGAGAACAACGTATATAGGACAGCATGAAAAGATGCAACACCGCTCAAAATGAAATGCTCATCAAATCAAAATTTTCCAGAGATGGTCAACGCAGATAATGTGTAATTAGGAAAATACATAATGTGGTACAAAAATTAAAAAGAAGCAAAAAGGTACAACATCAAAAAAGCTCGAAACATATTCTTAAAATGTCGAGAGGGAAACAACGAAAAAGAGAAAAAAGACACTATCTTTCTCTGTGGCGTTCTTCATCAAACTTGAAACCCAGCCTTATATAGAAAACAATTATACACATTTGGCATGTTACAACTCCAAACATTTTTTTGGATCCACATCTCAAGTGTGGTTCGGGTCTGCAACAACAGATGCTCTCATGCCTTTTGTAAACGATCTCCTGGCTTTGATTGGCTTCTTATTGATCAAATAAGAGCCTTCTTCAGGTTGAGACGGAGAGGCTCTTGAATGCTTCCACTTGTCCATCGCTCAATTCAGTCTGACCCACTGGATGGTTTGCTGCGTCGCCATTTTCATTGCTCTTGCGAGATGAGTTGTACTCTGAATCAGGCATCACAGAGCTGCACTTGCCTTCAAAGTGCGTTGAACATGGAAAATACTCGGCGCAGCGTGATTTCCATCCTGCAATTGTAATCCAAAACCCGCTTTAGTACTTCTTAAACCGATGGACCGTACGATCATGGAAGACCAACCAAACGTAATAAATCAAAATGCAGCCGCAGCGAAGATTTTTTTAATGCTTACTGGAGGCAGCTTCCGAGTCCATGAGTACTGTGTCTAGGAGCTTATGAACTGCTATACAGTCTTTGAGTTTCCATTCTCTTGCTGGTCCTAGAGCTCCATTTCTGCGCATTCACACACCCGATGTTAAACATACAAACATCAGAGAGAGAGAGCAAGGAACCCTCAGGTAATACGTTTGGAGGACCATTACGTTTGAACCGGTTTATTGGATGAGTCTTCAATTATCTTGATAGCCTCGGTTCTTTTGCTTGGATCTAAAACGTACAGCATTTCTGCATATGCAGCTCTGTGCACCAGGGAATCTGCGGAATTGAAATGCAAATGTTGCCAGAATCAGACACTGTAAACAACATTCCGTCAGAGTGCATGTAATAAATTTGATACGCACCTTCGTGTCTACCAAGAAAATCTTTGTTTGCCTCCATTAGTGATTTATTCTGCAATTGACTAGAACGCAAACGAATGGAGAATTTATCACACAACTGTTACACAAAAGTATCAGTAAGAATGGACAATAGTTTGAGTAGTCACCTGATTGATGGGCGCTCAGCCTCTAAGACACTCCAACGAAGTTTCTCAGCTTCAGTCGTTGGAGCACTTGTCGATCCTGTCTTGAGAAAGAATTTAACCTGCCATCCATTTTCAAAAGCATAAACCACACAACAGTTAAAGAGAAAAAAATATTATTCGGCCTCCTATCTCCTTTGCCTGAATAAGCAAGCCTTAGAAAATCACAAGTATCACAGATTTCATACCAGGGAACGATGTGAATCAGGGTTCTCCGCGTCCAATTTAAGCAATTGCTTGACAGCCTGAAGAATGAAAAATGAGACGGCAAAGCCCTCAGATTACTTGAACAAAGCATATAATAGCAACATGATAGATCAATACTAAGCTTTGATACGATCACCAGACGAGAGATAAGTTACCTGGAATGCAAGCAGAAACTTTTGTTTTCTCATATTAACCTCAAAAGAAAGTAGATGGGTCTCCAAAGAATTAGGTGAATGCTTCTGGAGTAGTCTCAAGTACTTTGAAGCCTCTGCCATTGGCTCTTCCACCTGTAAAGATTTAGTTTTCCAGTAAGCATCTGATAAAAGTTAATCCTCATGATACAGTATTATCGCAAAGGCCACAATACATCTTACGAATGAAGCAAACAACAACCTGAATTAACTTTTGCCCATGTGGATCTGGATCAACAGGTTTCACATTTCGTTTGCCAGACTTAGAGACACCAGTGGCAGTTGATTCTTCGCTCTTAGTCTCAGCTTCCTGAAACGAAGAAGATCACTCTTAAGCCACCTTAAGTATCAATTCACTCGACAAAGAAAATGAAGACACTTACTTTCTTAGCACGGGCTTCTGCCTTTTTCTGCTTCTTGATTTTCTTCTTCTGAGCAGGAGCCAACTTTGACATTTCATCTTCTTCAGCAGTTGACTTGGGAGAATCATGCAATTTCAGGTAACACCTGAACATCAGGCCAAGAGGAATATGTGACTACATTTTAATGGAATTTATCACGCATCCATACAGTAGATACTGTAGCTGGATTACATTTGTGCAACAAAGAGTTTACCTGATAGCTCTAACTGCTGCTTTGTGGAAATACGGGAATGAGTGTAATCGGTCTTGAAACTTAAGCATGTCAACATATGAACGCAAAGTCATTTTTCTTAAGCAATACGAGTGGAAATCAAATTGATCTTCAGAAATGTCAGAATAGTGCTTCTCCACAGCCAAAAACTTTTTCAAGGCACGTCCAAGATCACCCTGACGGAAGTAGCTATCTCCAGATGCAAGATCATACCTTTCACGAAATGAGATGAAAAGACAGCGATTAGGAAGATATCTGAAGTGTCAATTTTACATTAGCAAAACTACTCAGGCTTCTGTAGAGCCGTACCACATGCACTGCATGTCATGAAGATTGTTGAGCTGATCCCCCTCTTTTGTAAATAAAACAGCAGTTTTCTCAGCCATGGTCACCTTCACCAAAAAAAATCACAAAACGAAGAACTACCGTTGGTGCCCAACATCTAAGGACATCGACCAAAACAATATCATATGAACAAGAACGAGATGTAAACCTGATCTGCTTGCAGCATACGCTTAACGCATTCACTGTTAATATAGCGATCTGCTAAGTCCATGCATCTAGCTTCATCGGCAAGTGCAGCAGCAGCAGTCAAGTCTCCTGCATGCTTCATTATTCGGCTCTGTTGAGAGAAACCAGTACAATGATTAAGAAGAAACAAGAACTCGCATACAAAAAAGATAACCTGATATGCGTGCACAAATCATACAAATTCTGTTAACACAATCGCTATAACTAAAGAAGTTCAAACCCAGCCATCCAGTCAATAAAGTTTTTAAAATGTGTCTACATGCATAGTGCAAGCAGCAACAATGACACATACCAAAAACAGATGAATCAAAATCTGATTATTTTTGGCCACGATAAACAATGATACCTTAACGGAGTACAGATCAATCACTGTCGGCGTATGAGCAATGGCTTCGTTAATTTTACCAAGGGCAACATAATATAGACCACGCTTGTCATAATGCTGCATTATAAAAAAACGTATCAAGATAAGATGCACAAAACTTAAACCGAACAGCTGTTAATTATAGAGAGAAACTAGGACAAATAGCAAAAGTGAACCTGAGCCAAGAAAAACAAAGTCCACAATAATGTCGGCGGGGGCTCTTTCACATCACTGCATCAATAAAGAATTAATCAAAATACTTGATTGATGAAATCACTAACTTAGAAAACATTTTAGTGTTATTTTATTCTAGTAGAAAATAAGACTATACATCGTAGACGATATTAATCCAGTATATACTTCAGTAGTAAATTCAGATATATACCTTCCTGGGTAACTTCCAGTAGTCCTGATCGAATGTTCCATCTCAACAACTACTTGCTCCAATATATCAGGCTGGGTGACATAATACATATAAAAACGTATATCGCAAAATAAAGTGTAGCCAGATTATTGAAAATTGCAACAGCATGCCCAAGGAGAAAGCAGGGAAACCAACCTTGCCAGGGTGATTATACAGAGATGAGAGATCAGAAAATAATGAAGGAACACCCTGAGACAAGCATTAAGATATATAAGAAACATATTATATTACACCATTGTGTAAACGAAGAGACTCCAGGGGAAGAAAAGATACCTTTGTTAACAGAGGTTTAATGTACTTTGCAACAGCCTCCTTAAAGCTTTCATCTTGCAGAAAATCCAATGGTATCCTCTGAAAATACGGAAATAGAAAATAACTTAACCCCAGTCGAATTTCACGTATCAGCAGCCAAAAAATATCAGAGAGAACAACGTGGGTAACCAGTAGTTCCCAGTAAAGTAGAAGGATCTTAAAAAAAGGTATGTCACTACAGGCACCGATCTGCATTTTCTCACCTTAACAGCGGATGACCAAGTGTACTGCTCGCTTAGAGACTGGTATAAGGCATTTAACTTCTCAATCTGGTCAGACGAATACTGACCACTTTCTGAATACAATCCAAGACATTTTTGGAGGCCTTCATAATATCTGAAAAAGTAAGGAATCCACTTGTTACTTGTTTACAGGAATTGACAGTGCCAGAAAAATATATAAACCTTTGAGCGTGTCGTCGGAAAAGATTGTCAATTTTATGCAAAAATAATGAGGCAGAGCAAACAGACGTGAATATAGAGAAATAACGAAATGTACACAACTAATTGCTCTGGAATGACTTAAAAGTGAAAAGGAATAAAAACCTATAATTGTCAGGGTTCATGGAAAGCAGCGCCCTGTAGAGTTTCTTGGCTTCTTCTAGACGACCAAGCTTTGATAAGAGAGATACCTCTTGTTCTTTGTAAGACAACTTATCAACCTACAAACAACCACACGAGGAATGTTAAATCTACTATATGCGTATCCTATGATCCAAATAATTATTCAACTATCAGCTTCATGAACTTACTATTTTAGACTCTTTGTTGTACAACTCCTCAAGAGCTTTGTCAAAAGAACCGCTCTCTTCAAGCAAGGAAACCTGGAAGAAAAAAAAGCATTTGAGATTTCCTGCAGGTACAGCTA